ACGTAAGATCTGATGTTGACGACACACCTATTTGTTAAAATTATATATTACAATTTTAATCTACCCTTTTAAATATTAAAATTGAATATACCAATGTTAGATGTATCATAAATACATTGAAATTGAAATATCGTGCAATAAAATCAATTTAAAAAAATACCAAATATATTAAATGTTTCACAAAGGTCTCCAATACATACCTAAATCTTGATTAAATGAAGATATCACATTTTTACTACATGCTTCCTCCTTTAATATTTTCTTTTTAGATACATTTGTGAAAGATTTAACATTCTTCCCATTTTTACTTGAAGGAACTCTCATACGCTCCTGCTTTGTATCAACAATTTTATTTGCCATCTCACTTTTTTTACTATCTAGTGATAATTTAGCTAAAACATTTTTTATATTGATGTCATCAAATTTGTTAGAAATAGGCAAATGGCATGTAGTGGGCATCGCTAGGACGGATTTTTCATTGGAAGGCAAATTATAAGTTTCTTTTCTCGCATTGTCTTGTATTATTGAACTTTTCTTCTTTTTTTGTGCCATTAAAAGCTGATCAATCAATCGTCGTGGCGTCTCGCTATTAACATCTTGTAAAGTATTAACAATAGTGCTTAAACTTATGACACTATTTTCGTCTGCGTCTCTTGTTGCATTAGGAATAAGCACATTCTCTTTCTCCGTCAATTCCGTCGACAACGCTGTTGCTACAATATAGTCTTTTGTACACAAAGATTTAATTTAATTTAATTAAAAACATACAAAAAAATTGTGTAATTACCATCTGCCATGATAGTCGACTCAACTAATGCTGGTAATTTGCCCGTTCTTACAGGAGTTTCCGAGACAAGACCAAAACTCGGTCTTACTTTATTACTTCCTAATATTCCTATATTATCAGACTTTCGTTCAAAGTATTGGCCTACCGATACCTTTCGTCCGGCACAAGACCTGTAATTCAGACATTACCTCATTACATGTATGCTATACACAACATACGCATATACACACAAAAATATACATACTGCACCGATAGTTCTAGGTCTCCAATAATACCAGACAGAGAGCCAAAATCTGTTGTTTGTTTTTCTGGATTCGTGACTGGCATACAATACGTGCGATCTTGCAGCCAGCGAGCCTCATCAATCGACAACTGTTCGGCCATTTTTGAGCCAGATAGAAATTCTTCCTTATTCATTTCTGCCATCAACTCGTTATTAATTTGCGTTATATCGTTTTCGTTTAAGCCAATGCCATTAAAAGATCTGTTCACTGAAGGAAGTCCGTCAGCACTGCTGCTGATGCCAGACGAACGTGCTGTGATTTCGTTAGGTTCAAAATTAACCTGAAATTTACTTTTTCTAAAATATTCTGGTTTTGAAAAATCAGATTCGTAAATCATAGATACCTACACTAGCCGTGCTAACTTTATTTGTTGAGTGATGCATACATTCCTTGTCCAACTCAGATATATAAGTCCTAATTGGTAAAGTGAAGTTGCCAGTTATATTTTGCACATTGGCATTGTTTTCTTTGTTTGTATCTAAAACAATTATTTACCACAATTACCTTCATGCAATTATTTATGTGCTTACGTATCCTTACTATACCTATATGTCTTTTTGTTTCTCTATTTACCTGTGGTTAAAGAAGAGTTTTTTGTTTCACTACACTTCCGAAGAAGCCTCCTGGCATACTCAAGCTCTAAATTGTCCTCCTCCGCGCTTATGCTTGTGAGACCTGTCATCGATATCGTGTTAATGCAATGCTGATAATACTGCTGCGTTAATCTGAAGGATCTTGGCTGGTCATACGTACCCGACATATTGTCAAGAAGACCTAACGAGGACCTATCGTCTTTCTGCGAGTCATTCTCATTTGGTAAATCCTGCTTGTCCTTCGCCTCACTCGAATGCCGCCTGTCGCCGAATCTGCTCTCCATCCTGGAAGCAAAATATCTTCGAGAACCATCCCCGTAAATATTCTATCTAAAATCAACTACGGTCCACGTGATTCTCCAAGGACGAGAATGTTAGACAAGGAGGCGAATAATCGGTGGAACGAGCAAGGACGAGAACCGGTTCGCGAAGATCGACGCTCAAAAGGGAAAGGCCCTGACGCCTGTTGATTCGCGAAGGTGGGACTTTTTCTTTTGACAGACCGCCTGAGAGGAGGAACGTACGTGCTTTTTCCGCAAACGGTCGACGACGCCTGCGGCTGCGGCGTGTTCAGCACCGTGTCGTCCAAGTCGTAATCCTTGGGCTTGATCGGCGTGAACATCGCAGGCTCCTTTGTCCCCGATCGCGAGGCGAACGGCGATCCAACGTGCACAATTCGTGGGAAGTGGGAAGGACGAGTCAGCGACCCTTCATTGTTCCGCAACTGCGCGAGTTTCCCGCGGACCGCGTGACGGGACCGATCAGCCGCGATCCCACTCCGGCCCTTTTAAACAATAACAGTCGATCGATTTTGCAGTTCAAATTTGAAAAGTCTCGGAGGTCACCGACGATTGGACACGGACTTGAAGGCCGCGACGTAGTTTATCATCCCGCCGACGCCTTCTGTCAACTCGCCATCTGCTGGCGAACGTCGTCGCGGGAATTCGGCGGTAAAACAGAAGGTTTGTTCTTCTTTTGAAGAACTTTCTGAACTGCACGCACTGGGTGCAGCTTAAAATGAAACAGATATATATTACAGCTGTTGGAGAGAAAAGGAGAAAAGAGATGAAAGGTTACAAAAAGTTGTAACCTACAAAGAACAAAGCGTATAGGTTTGCTCCTTGTAGCTATGTTATGTTACACCTTCCGCGCTTGAAATGAGAGATAAATGTATAGTTATTAGATATTGAAGAAAGAGGGAAGATGTGAAAAAAGTGCAGAAGTGGGGGAGTACCGTGCATGTAAACATGTATCCTAACCTGCTCCAAGTTGCTTGGAGCAGTGACATGTGCTTCCTGATCAATATTGTTATTTTTCGTTTTTATCGCAACTGTTTAATTGGCTAACAGCCAAGCATTTAATTAGGATTAAATTAAACACGCTCGGTGTTTTATGCTTATATTACGCTTAGAGTGAAGTGTAAAAATACACGGGAGATAAGGAAGCTTAGACGAGTCCAGCAGCACAATTTATCTCGAGATAAGTGTCTTGTGAGACAGAGACGAAATTTTAACGAATTAAAAGTTGCGAATAATCTTAAGAAATTGACGCAATGTCTGACACAAACGCTACGGAAACGTTAGCGACCAGCGTCGCGGAGAACGAGAAAAATCCATATGCGTATCTCGAGAGAGATGATTTCACTTCTGAGAAGTACAAGATAGAGGTGCGCGGTTTGCCGAAGTATTACGGAATTGGTGAATTTAAGAAGCTCGTGAACGAAAAGCTGGACCTGCAATCGTGCAAGGTAAAGCCGCCCAGGAAAGGCAGCAGCTGGCTGTACGTATGCTTCAGAAACGAGGAGTGTCGTCAACGAGCGATAACCACTATAAATGGGATTTTGTGGAAGAACAGTAAACTCACGGCGCAGGTATTCTTCAGCCTTTCGTTAATGCTGCTTTCTCGGCAGACATTAAATGTATATAGTTTTAATTCGTGCTTTCCCTTTAGGCAGCCAAGCCAGCTCCGGATCCCTTTGTGAAGAGAAAACTAGAGGAAGAGTCCAGCAACAAGCGTCTGAAAACTGACGCCGAGGATCCAAACTGCTCCCCCACTGATAGAATCAAATTTATTACTACCCCTTTGTGGAACATGCCGTATCCGGATCAAGTAAGGGATTTTATTACGTTCTCGTTGGAAAGTATCAAACCTTATGCTATATATTTTTAGCTGGAACTCAAGCAGAAGGAGATGAGATCTATCCTGATGAAAATTGGCCAGCAAATGCTCGTAGAGAGCAAAGGTCTGTCAGAGTGGATATATTCGCAAAAGAAATTGTACGATGGATTGCCGTGCAAACTGGAGAATATACTTTCGGCAGATGTTACTGAGGCGTATAGAAATAAATGCGAATTCACAGTTGGTGATTATTTCTAGATTTATACGAGGGTATAAAAAATTTTGCCAAGTTTAAATTTTTTTTTTTTTTTATGACGCAGGTAAAGACAGTGAACAGAGCAAAATTATGATTGGGTTTAGATTGTCAACTTATGCCTCGGGTTCTACAGCAGTCGGACCTATCGACGATCTTTGTCACATTCCGGAAAATATGAAAATTGCTGTAAAGGTTAATTTCAATTGTTGATTTTTTTTTTAGACGAGACCGATGGAGACGGACTTGGGATCTAAAATTTGCGCGTTTACATATTTCAGATACTAGAAACATTTATACGCGAGTCAAACTTGGAGCCTTTCAATCCGGTTGATCATAGTGGATACTGGAGACAAGTCACCGCTCGAACCACTCGTGCCAGCCATCTGATGTTGATAGTAGGAATACACCCTCAGGATCTAAGTAGCGACGAATTAGAGGAATTAAAATCACAGCTGAGAATATTTTTCGAAACCGGGAAAGGTGCCGACGCTCATGTCACTTCGTTGTATTTTCAAACAATAGATAAGAAGTAAGTATATTATGCGGAAGTAGCCATGTACATGTATTTTTTTTTATTTGCATAATTTAATTTTGCAGAAGTATAGGCGGTGAAAGTAGCGACTCCTTATATCATGTTAGCGGAACAGAATATATAGAAGAAACGCTACTCGGAATGAAGTTCCGAGTTTCGCCTCAAGCATTTTTCCAAGTCAATACATTGGGAGCGGAAGTTTTGTACAAGGCGGCGATTGATCTTGCCGAACCCACGATGGATACGGCGCTACTTGACGTGTGTTGCGGTACTGGAACCATAGGTCTCTGCTTTTCAAAGGTACGATCAATTATTATAAAATTTCCAAGGATGTACCATTGCAGATGTTAAACGTTCACTGTTGCAGCATTGCGGTGAGGTATTAGGAGTGGAAATTATTCCCGACGCTATAAAGGACGCCAAGGAAAACGCTATCAAGAACGATATTACCAATTGCGAGTTTTTTGTCGGAAAGGCGGAGGACATTTTGTTGCCTGTCATTCACAGGGCAACGAAATCCAATATCACTGCCATTGTGGATCCCCCACGAGCTGGTTTACGTAAGTTGTCATTATATAAGTAACATTTACGATGTCGATATTATAAAGAAATGTTAACTTACCTGTATGTTAACTTATTCTAGATCAAAAGGCTTTATTGACACTGCGTAAGTCAAGAAAGTTGAACAGACTGGTGTACATATCCTGTGACCCTCGTGCTGCCATGAGAAATTTAATTGACTTAGCACGACCTAGTTCCAAGCAATATCTCGGTGATCCGTTGGTACCGGTAAAGGCCATTGCGGTTGACATGTTTCCTCATACTAAGCATTGCGAATTGATATTATGCCTTGAAAGGCTATCGAAGGCGATGAAATGAAACGAATGTACTATCCAAGAAAATACGGAATAAAGAACGTTCAAACGTATTTACATATTCTTCCGTCGTATGTATGTGTTAGCATAATATATACGTATATATTAGAGTTTTTTTGGACACGAATATAAAATTTGCTCTAAAGTCCCAAGAAGATAATCAAGAAAATGATAGAATTGTTGAACCAAACTAATGAAATCGATTTTTATATTCCTCATTTTTCTAAAGCGAGGGTCTTGTTTATCCTAAATTGGTACTGCCATTCATTACTTCCATAGATTTTATATAAAATATTACTATAAAATAAAATTACTTTGACTTATTTATAATCTGTTATAATTTTTTGGAGATAATAATTTATTTCGGAACACGATAAAGCGGATCACAGTAAAACTGCAGTTTATTCTAACTCAATCTTATAACAATATCAAGAATTTTTATAAAATATAATAGTTCCAATTTATTAATATATTTATACAAACTATATTAAAATAGTCTGACAGAATTATCACGCTTCTAGAGTCTTATCTCCTCGGGCTGGTTTCGTTAGTCTGCGTAGACTCACTCTTGGTGTTCACTTTCCTCGGCAGAACCGAACCTACCACCCTCACCTCTCTTACCTCCGCCTTCACCCTCAGGCCCTCCTCAAAAAGCTCCCTCACCTTCTCCAAACTCGATTCCTCTCCTTCTCAATCCTTATTATAACATTCCTCTTCCTCGTTTCCTCTTCGCTTCTCTCTTCCTCTTCCTCGACAACTGCCACAATATGTATTTGTTATTGCACATATATTCTTTAAATATTGTCAACATTCAATGCTAACAATTTCTCATAAATATAATATAACCATGTATTTCATAACAGAAAAAACGTTAAATTCTCTAATACAGAATTCGTTAAAATAAATGATTTATTTATAATTTTTTTTGTTTTATAATTAGACCATTGCTGGGCTTTGGTTCGTATCTAAAAATTCTACAATGTTTTCTAAGATTCTTTTTTGATTGGTGACACGAGGTTTATTATCTTTTTGTTTAGCCGACAACAATTGAATAATACCCTCTCTTCCACTTTTTTCATAAATATCTTGTAATTTTGCACGATTGATCCCTGCTTCTGCTATTTTTTTAATCATTCCGTTGGAGATAACATTTTTAAAAATGTTCAAAGATCGTTTCAGTTTTGCTGTCTTTTGCAGTCGAGTTTCATGGTCAAGTGATTCCTTGAACGATTTGTGGTTTCCAATCAAATTCTCTTTCGGAATAGTTGAAGCGATTTGTTCGAGTATTTCCACATCGTATGCTGCTTCGTGGAAATTTTCAGTCAGTTCTATTTGCAACAAATCTTGGGCTAAAGTAGACAGTTTAAACATCCCTTTACCTTTTCTCTGAGGATAGAGTTTTTTAAGAGGGACAAGAGTATCTGAAAATCCGACGATAAGGTTTTTGAAATCCTCTATCATTGAATTATTTATCAAAGCACGGAGTAAATAACCAGTGTCAAATGTTGCATTGTGCGCAACAAGAATACACGGTTTTGATATTACAGCTAGCCATTCTTTGAACTCACGTAGCACTTTCTGCAAAGGGCTCGACTGAACTCTTTCGTCATCCAAAAATAACTCTCCTGCCACAATTTTCAAGCCAGTGATTTCTGTCGCTTTAGGCATAATTGGCTGAGTAGGAGTCGCGTATGCGCAAAATTTGTATTCTTCGCATTTTGCAGCAATCTGCAGAATGTCTGCTGACTTATGGAATCCCGAAGTTTCCAAGTCGAAGAATACAAACTTTATATTGTCTGGTGAGAGATTAGTATTCTGGATATTCTCGCCACAATTAGATTGATATTGAATTCCTTCAGTCTGTTCAGATTCTTTTCTCGAAACCTGACCTTCTTGAGCCAGTATATTTTGACGAGTTTTTATGGAAGGCAACATTGCTTCTGTCATTTTTCTTGAATACTTCAATTCTTTATTTGTTATGAACGATGCAATATTGTATGGAAATTCCAGTGGGGAATCTCGGAATGGATGCCGATTTCACTCTGGACGGTTAGAAAAGATTTACATGCAGATAGTGACTTGGTAAAAATGTCAATGCCAAGGGAACGGGCTTGGAAAATTTAGCGGTGAAAGAAGACCCTGTTGAGCTTGACTCTAGTCTGGCACTGTAAGGAGATATGAGAGGTGTAGCATAAGTGGGAGATGGCAACATCGCCGGTGAAATACCACTACTTTCATCGTTTCCTTACTTACTCGGTTAGGCGTATATTCTTGAACTCGTACAACACAACTAGCTACATATGCCCAAAGAACTCGTGATACACGCCACACAAAGAGCTTCGCGGAGGAATCCAATATGGTTGGCTATTCAACCGTAAAGACGGAAGACGAATACGCGAACAAACGATCGACGTGCGTTACTTTTCTCGAATCTTCTTGTTGCCAAGCGCTTTCGCGCCAAAAGTAACTCAACCCACGGTTACCAGCGAGATGAGATAGACAACTATGCGGTACCGCAACACCAGCGCTATCTTACTCCATAAACTAAAGAGAGAGACCTTTAATATCTTATAACCCAGACAGAATAGAATCCCTATATAAGAGTCTGGACAGACTTTTGAAATGCCACAATATGGTGTGGATGTCACGTATATAAGGACTCTAGTTTGGATGGACTTTGAAGTGAAACACTATAGCGTCGATGTCACGTTGAAAAATACACGTATGGGCCGGTCTCACAGTCTCCGATTAACGTGATTCTCCGATTAAACTCACTCTGCATTTCTTTCTAACTATCCCCCTAGAAAGAGACGAAGAGTGAGTTTAATCGGAGAATCTAGGGAGAATCACGTTAATCGGAGACTGTGAGACCGGCCCATAAATTGTGATAATTGGAAGATCAAACGATCTCATAGAGAGATGTTCGATCGTAATTATATGAAAAGTCTCGTTCGAGTGATTAACAATGTAGTACCGGCTTCCATGCCCGGTGGCGCCACAATCTTCAGAGTAACTTTTTTCCCTAGCCCCATGCTTCTATGCTTCTATTCTTCATAAAGTTTAGAGCTCGACTAGCTCACTAGCATATCAAATAAAAATTATTATAAAATTGGGGTTGGGAAATGTATAATTACATCGGGTGGGAGTAATCGCTCGAACGAGACTTTTCATATAATTACGATCGAACATCTCTCTATGAGATCGTTTGATCTTCCAATTATATTCAAGTCTCGGTCTCATGATTAACAATGTAGAGGTTCAGAGAAATATAATTTTTATTTGTTTGTTACTTGTTTCGAATTCGTATACGAATCCTAACTAAGTCATACGCCAATTACAAAGGAAAGCTAACTTTTTCCTTAGGTCAATAACATTTTTTTTTTTTTTTTTTTTTTAAATTCTATATTGCGCTTTATCAACACATACGCGCTTTTACCAAGGATTTCGTGGTTAAAACAACAGTTACTACAAAATAACAGTATTATAGTGTTTAATAAAAAAAACCTACGAATTTTTCGACCAACTAGCAGTTTTTTTTTTTTTATATAGTTCCTAGAGCAACTTTTTTTTTTTTTTAATAATCGAACTTGCCGCATATTCTGTGGAGTGAATAGTGAATCTCTCACCTATACCCCAGCGAGACATAGCTGCCCTAATTCTTTTATTCATCATTGCTATAAAAGCTGCTCTGAGTGGCTTTTTAGCTGTCAGAAAGAGATTATCTACTTTACCTCTCAACTGCGATGTCGCTTGGATGTAAGCGTCAAATGTTGACATTAGCCTAACCTGGGATTTTTCAGAACAACTGGCAAACTAGCAAAAGTTGGTATGATCTTGGACGGTAGGTCTTAATTCGACCCGATATTCCTATTTCGTATCTTTCCGAACTTCGTTTAAGTTAGAAAAATTAAAACTTGATTGAGGTCAATGTTTGTGCCCTGTGCACAATATCCAGTGCAAGCAGCAACACGAGACGCTCAGTCAAGCAACCAAGAGTCAGCTTGTTTAAGGGAAAAACCTTCAACTTTTTGAAAATTGTATCAACATCCCAAGTTCTATCATACTTGGGTTTCACCGGGTTAAGCAAGAATATTTTCTTAAAAAATCTAGAAATATTTTTATTTTGGGCAATATTGCTTCCGCTGATCAGAGAAATCGCCGATCTTACCAAGTTACGGGATCCGTATGCCGCCCCCCCCTTTTTGAAAAAATTAAATGAAATCAACTTCTCTTTTCTGGTTGATAGGGTCCAGATTTTGATCTAGGCAAAAGACTACCATTGTCTTAAAAATTCTGCATACTGCTTACGAGTTGACTCCATCAGCAAAGCTTCGAAGATATTAAGCTAGGCAATCCTTCTCTTCTGAAGAGTTTCCTGATAATTCTCCAACCATCAGGGGCAGCTTCTTTGTTAGTGGATGCCGAATAGACCTATAAGGGGGATAAAAGTAAAGCAGGCACAGGATTAACAATTAACGGCTTTCCCTTCAACAGTTTCATAAATAAGGGAAACCACGGTTGGCTAGCCCAGTAAGGATCGTTTTCCCAAGCAAAGAACTTTTCGCATTTTGTGTTACCTCTAGGGGCAAGCAGATCAATTTTTGGATATCAAAAAACGCTCTGACGGCATGACGGAAGGCGTATCTCTTTAATTCCGTCTTGTATATATATTTCTTATCCGAGATCCTCTGTTAGTTTCGACATTGTCTTCGGACTTAGATTGACGTCACTTCTGCATTTAGTCGATATTTTTATTGGAGAGGAGAAAAAAAAGCGAATCTGCTTAGATGAAATAGCGTTGGCCACCAATCGTTTCCATGATAGCTTTTATAATTGTGTTAATAATATAAACCATGGGTAAATAGGCGAAGAGAATAATCCAACGATGGCAACGCAGTGGAATAAATAATGCCACTTGCTCTCTGAGATTCTTGTTTTGGTTGGTTTGTAGAAAATTAATACAAGTCTCGATGATCTCGACGCAGAACTAAGGTGGCACAAAATACGCATTGAAATCGGCGCCGCTTGGGGTGCGTTCCACTTAATAAGTGGAACCCAGCCTTGGTATACAGAAAAGCGAGGATGACGATCCGGTGAAGAAGAAGAAAAGCAGAAGAAAAATCTTAAAATGTTTAGATTTCAATCGACCTATTAATGTTCGACATTGCTGATATAAGAATAAGATTCTCGTCCCGTAGATGAATCTCGCATCAATGCGTGACATTAATGGAAGATATGAAAAATAAAAACATATATCAGGCTTCAAAACGTGTAATCAAAAGACAAGGAAACAAAGATGATAAAGGCGGATTTCAATACCATACGAAAGTATGCAATAACAATATTTTAATCATTTGGTATATTAATCACTTTAATTATATTAAATGTTTTGGTTTAAATTGGGGCTTGTTTCCTTGTCTTTCGACATTATATAAAGAAATGTTTGATATTGGCGATCCTTAACAAGCGGAGGCGATTTTATTGCAACGTATCTCTTGCGCGTCGATTCAATAGATTATTGAAGATGCGCGAAAGAAATATGAATATATTTATACAAGCACACATGTTGTCTATTTCGAAGAATTATCTATTTCTATTCCATCGAGAAACTGACGTTTCTACAATTCCTGGCGCACTTTGAGCGCGTTCTGCGTGAAATTCTTTAGAATGTTTATCATCTATGCTTTTAACACCTTTGGCATCATTAAACACACAGTCGTCTGGGCTCTCAGAATTCACTCGCGAGATCGTCTCTGCATATTCAGTATGATCAACAGGTTGAGATAGCTTAGAAAGCAAAGCGACTTTTTCTGCTTTATCTAGAGTTGATCTAAAAGTGTAAATAGTTATTTTTGAATCAACAATGTTAGATATAGATTTGATTTAATATTGATGATATGCTACAATAGAAGTTTGATATGGTTTTGTTTTTCTCACGCACAGAGTACCTTGTACTGCTTTGCGCTGCTAATTTCTCAATAATTTTAGCGTCTACATTAATCTTTTTCGGCCTTTGCATGTGACTTTTCAATTTCTCTATGTTCTGCGTAAGTTGATGAACCTGTACCTTTAATGTTGCATTTTCATACGTCAATCTGTTATTTCTTTGTACAACCTAACAAAATTCATATATATATTATATAATATATATACGGTCTAATTCGAAAGGTTTAGACAAAAAGGATAAAGAGACGTATATATTATCGTTTACTTGTAAAAATTTAGCTTTATTAAGGGGCAACGGTTCCTGAAATTTTTCTGACACAATTAAATTAAGTTCCTTTCTCGCCTCGTCTAATTTCTCCATCATCTCCGCCATCACTAGCAAATGCTCGTGCAGCAACTGATCCAATTTATATCTTAATGTGTCTTTGGCATGCTTCATACGAAGGAACTTCACACATAAATTATATGTAACTTCGTTTTTATCTGACAACTCCACTCTGAGCTGCTTGTTTTCTCTTTCCAAGGAATCTTGGGCTTCTTCGAGCTCCTTATGCCGTTGTTGCTGAAACTTTGACGTGTTGCTGGTATGCCTGCCTCTGTACCGTTGCATTTCTTCAATGAAATGATCTTTCTCCCTTTGGTGGAAATCTCTCTCGCCATCTAACTGTTCTACAATAAAAAAAATTAATATATACTATTTTATTCGTGTCTGTTGAATTAACTCAAATTAGCTTGTTTTGGAATCTGTAAAGCTATTTCCTGGTAAAATCCTGATTTTATGAGCAAATTTGGATGAGGGTGTGCAAAATAATATTTTATTTATATTATATATGAGTATACTATATATAACATGACTCGATTAGAAATGAAAGTCTGACAATGTCTTATATTTTCATATATATGTATACTTCAAAAATTACTTATAATGATTAAGTCTTACGTTTAAGATTTCTATTGCATCTTTGTTGTTTCTTTAACTCTGCCAGTAATCTACTCTTCTCTCGATGCGAATTTTCTAGTTGTACATCTCTTATCCTTAGAGCATTTTTTAAGTTTGATATAGCTTCATTCAATTTTGCTATCTGGATACATACGATTAAAAATCACAATTATTGACAATGTCAAAGTTATAAAAAGTAATAATATGCAGGAAGTATATTTAACACAGTAGTAAATATTTGAAAAGTACAAAATAATTTTTTGGCAAGTTATTCATTTATATGTTTTATATTATGAGTGAGTAGACATTTGAGGTTGTCTCATAATTTGTAAATAATTAATTAATGCTAATCGAGTAAAATACTAACATTACTAACGTACTTGCGGTGAAGTTATTATTTCATGATCGACTATGTTGTATTCTGCAGTGTCATAGGAAACTTGTTTTTCTACATTAGTAGAACATTTATTTAAATTAACATTCTGCATATCACGATATTTAACTCACGCCAATCCGTAATACCTCTTTAGATATAATTTTCTATTTGTTATATTATTTCATTGGTTATATCATATCGCACACTTTATGCTTAACTTTAATATTCAGGATTCAAAATTAATATTCAAATTTTTGAAAGTGCCTCTGAATATATGTAAAACTATTTTAAATTGGATTGCCTAAATAATTATGTTCTTCCTTTTATGTATAAGACGAAGGAGAACTTGAGACATGTTACACATTAATTCTATATAAATAACCTATATGCAAAAGTTACCTGTCAAATACATATAATTAATGACATGAATTATAAGACTAGATATAAGTGAAAAGCGTTAGAAATGCCAAAATGTGTCGAACGTAATTGCAAGTACTTATCGTATTTATAAATTTTAAATAAGCTTATCGCAAATAATAAAACAAAGCATTTTCCGCTTTAAAATAAAAAAAATTGTTTTTTAAAATAGTATATACACGTATATTACAGATTACAAATAGATTAGAAAATATTCTTTGCTACGATATGTGATAGGATACACTCAAATAAATATTTACTCAAGCAATACGGATTTTAAAAGTTGTGAAATTTTTTATTGTATCGTATATGTACAAAATAGGTGTACAGACTACTTATCAATCGCACGTACGTTTTTTGTACATGCATCACATATGCTTTAATAGCATATGACACTGATGTAAGAGCAGTTTCTTTACCCCAGTACACCTGTAACTCCCGTTTCTATTACCTTTCATCAAATGGAATGAATGTTGAGATGACGTGTATATTTCCTTTTTTTTTTTAAATGCTGATATCTTTAGAGACGTAAGTAAAATTTTAGAATTAGGATTTTTGAATGACTAATAATCCTTTCCCCATCTTGTACACACGAAAATAATAAATTATATTGTGGAGTCTCAGTTTCACAATTCCATACACGAGAACTATTTCCAAAAAATCATGTTTAAATGGTTACATTAGAATATATTTTTGCATCTCTGAAAAAGTTGCGTCGATATGAATACGATATCAGAAAAAACCAAAAGTACAAAATCTCTCAATGTGGATCCATTCGTGCTTTCCACAAATTTTACAATAACAACAACTGGGCCAGAAATTATTGAATACACTGCTGTTATGCTGAAACTACATATATTTGTATCATATTTCAAGAAGTTGTCTAGTAAAGAAGAAAAAGGTATTTCCATTCTAAGATAATCTTCTTCTCTTATCAATGGTATAAAATCTCATCAAGAGAAAAAATATTCAATTTTGTCTGAAGTCAGGCTAGTACTTGAATATAATAATAGATCACTTTTTGAAGAAAAATTATATTTGTAAAAATCTTGTCATAAAAATACTAGTCTTTCTTTCATATTAAATCCTATGTTACTAAATATACATTATCTTGGAAAAATATTTGAGTATACACACCAGAGAGCTATGTTATACAAATACATGTCTCTGTATAACCGAGATAATATCGTAATAAACTTCGTAATAAGTATTGTAATAAACTTTGGAAAGAAGTATAAAAATATTAGCTAAACCATAAAAAATTTTTTTTAAAGTACAGCAACGAGCACATTAACGAAATAATCCGAAATTACTTCAAAATTATACATAATAATTGTCTTCTTAATATTTTGGTCCAGTTGTGTTTTTAGAAAAGTGGAAGGCAACCATTTTGTCGTGTGATAATCTGATGAAATGATACTAGATTCGCACAAACGCGGATGATAATGATGGACTTATGTATAATATCTTAACTTAAAAGTTTGTTTTATTTCCATAATGTTAAGGCTCGTATTTATTTTTTCTTGTTCTTGTTAGCCTGATTTTTGTATTTAGCTGCAGCTGCTAATTTAGCATTCTTCTTCTTAGGTTCATCATCCTCTTCATCTTCATCTTCAGGATCCTACAAGAAATATAAAATGTAATCATGCAATTAATTCTACAAGCATTGATAGTTCGTCCATATTTAATACTTCATAAAAGAGATAAATATAGGGAGGCTTTATATATAATTTATGTCTTTTTGTTTAGAGAAAATTCTAAGGAAAAGAATATGAAATTCCATCACGTTTCGTAATGTCATATTTCGTAATCAAATTAAAATTCTAAAATCAATTTGTGCTAGCTTGTATATTTATCTTGATAATTTTGATTTTTTTTAATATATTGTACATTTATCAATACAAATATTAATACACGAGATAATGTGTGTACTTGATTTTCTAGGATCAAATAAACAATTATAATTCAAATGCGTAACTTTGCAAAAATGGACAAAAAGGAAGCGTGATTAGTAAGGAATAAAAGCAACTCTTTGCAAAATAAGATTTATTTTACAAAAATAAAACATGAAACATGAATGAGAACACAAGAAATACATTCATGACTTTTCGTAAATGGTTCATCTTCATCTTTTCCCTTCCTTAAATTATAATTCTGCAAAGACATCTTAAAGATCGTAAAGTCATAAGGTTTCAAGTAAAATAAAAAATGTTTCTTAATGCGATAATCGGATATTGTAATATTTTTAAGACACTGACTACAGAGCGCAGTGTTCTGTTTTATCTTAATATTCTATTTATCTACATTCACGACTGTATTCATATTCAACGCCGTTTTTTTTATCTCCTGATAAAAGCTTTCGTTTCTTTCGCGGTGCCTGAAATGGATATTTATAATATATATAATTTGATATGTTCATTTTCTAGCAACATAGAAAATAAAGATAAACTCAAAATATCGTAAAGTGCATTAGCAAATTTTCTACAGCAAATTATAACTTATAATTTAAATTATAATATTACAACATTGTGTATTCAAAAGATTTAAGTTTTTAAAGATGCATTCTATGTAAGTTGACATTAATGATTTAAATTACTCGTACTATTTATTACACTAGTCTGCTAAATTTATTACGATAAAAATTTGTTAGGCATAGAATATATATTTTGAATTATTTTTCACAATATATTATATATAACGTGTCATAACTCATACCTTCTCATCGTCCTCGTCGTCGATGTTCTCTTCCTCCATTTCATCATCCATATCCTCGAATTCTTCAATGTGGGCACCTATGAGAAGCAAAAAATCCATGTACTTTTCTAGTATTCCAAAAAGATAAAGATATTTGGAAAAGTTAATGTTATTAAATATTGTATATTATAAGATAATGCTGTGTGTCAGTTAGAAATAACTAATGAGTCAAAATGGAACAATTAAATATTTTATTATACATTTCATGTATTGTTAATCAAAATTTATCTCGTAATATACAAAAAATTATTTTATAATAATAAAATTATGTATATTAAATTAAATAAAATATATATAAATTTGTCACTATAAAATTAAAAACATGTAAACATTTTTATACGCATACACACATGTATACTGTAAAAAAAATTTATTTCATATTTTATCTTCAAAATATTCGTGTGTATAATGCAAAATAAGATAGCACATATCATACATGACATATATTTTAAATATAAAAACGAAATCTATTCTCATAAACTTTTTCTCAATATTTTCTTAAGAAGGCGCCCAATTTCAATTTTATCGCCTTTATTTGATATACTTTTATGAATATAAATATTAACAAAATTAAAAATATTAACTTTCCATCACACAATAATTTAAGAAATACATGTTAGAGTTTAGCAATATTGTAAATTTTTAAGATTAGTTAGTTCGTATATGTGATGTACCTATAGCTCATACTAGAATAACTTGCTCTAGTAGCTATCAAGCGAAAGATCTGGGTTCAATTCTCATAATTGTCATTTTGGATATATAAAACTAAGAATTTATGGGAGGAAAATATTTCTTGTGTATATAATAGCAACAAAGTATCCGAAACATGAACTTAATCTCAAGAAAACAAATTAAATACATTTATGTAGAGGTTACGTACCAAGAAGATTGTGTCCTACTATATGAACAGGTCCACTGCCCTTCACCAAGGTGAACGTGACTGGGGGATCTGGGAAACTGAGATCAAGAATGATCTGTGCCGTTTTTCCCATCTCCAGCAAGGCAATTGGAGTTTTGATGGGTCCTTTTAACCCCATCGCCTCAACCTGTAAGACATTGAGCTCGCCGGGTTTCGCCTCTGGTCCTAAAAGAGCCTGAAAACATTATAAAACGTTATAATAAATATTATGCAAAAAATTATATTTAATTATATAAAAAACGTTGAATATTAATAAAGATTATTTTGGACATTCTTGGATCTACAGAAATTCAAGTCATCCAAAATTACTATGATGAATTATGATGAACTATGATAGTAGCGAATAATTCTTATAAACAAAAAAGACCAAGGAAATTATGTATATAAATTTCTTATAATTTTGTTCTCTACCAAGTGAATTTCACCTCAAATATTTTTGCTTTATATGCTACACAAAAATTCTTTGATCAATTTTGACCTTTTTAGGTTAGAAAGTAGTTCGTCCCCAAAAGAAATAAATATACATAAATAATCACATTCGTATAAAAAAAATAAACAGAAAAAAGATAAATTTACAATATCTTTATGACTTTTAAGTTTATTGTCAACTATAACGAGAATCGTAATAAAAGATACGTGCGGTAATAAAAGATTCTCTTTTTCTTCATAAATTTAGTTAAATAATGTTGAAAATAAAAAATAGTGGAATAGAATTCAATGTGCTCCACACATTCTTACAAAACTTCCCGCATATCAACATCTTAATGCTCATCATCTACTTCGTAACGTGCACCGCAACCCGGAAACCGGCATGCCGCAAAAATTCGATCAATCTAATCCGCGTGTCGCGGCCCACGGGGGGAACTTGTGATAAATCGCACGAATCGTCCATTGCCCATTCAAATCGACTCGGCCACGAAATTTCCGTTATAATCATTCCGCGACATAATAGAGCCCTATCTGAAGCGAGGTGGGGGGAGCGGGAGGGCGACGCCGTTGTGGAAAAATGGCGCCAAGCATCAAACTTTCCCCCGTCGTGTTCGTCGGAGACGTTTCGCAATTTATAACGGAAAAGACGAATCAATCGTAGTCGCAACGCCACGAGCGGGACTTGGCAAATAGGTGCCTCGTCCCGCTCCTCCTCGAAGAGGAATCGCGATCATTAAACGGCTCGGAGCGTGGAGGAACGTTCGCGATCCTGAAAAAAAAAAAAAACGGACAACGTGGCCGACTGTCATCCTGGATTATCCCGAGTCCCTCCGATCGGAGAAGACGGAGAATCGAACGAGATCGCGCGCGGAGTTTGGGCGATTGAAGTTTCGCGCGCGAAACGTTCCACGGCAACGGCGGCGGCGATTAGCACTATAAAGAAAGAAATCGAGAGGTATCTCCGAATGACGCGGCACGCGAAACTAGACATCGCTGTATAGCCGACGAGCGCGTTGAAACGGAGATGTTCGTCCGCCACACCGCCCCCGGGCGAGGGAAGCGCCTCGATGCCACAGGGATGCCTCGCGGAGACGACGTATCGGGCGGGGAAGGGACTCCCGGACGCGCCGGGGGCAACGGCGACACGCCACGCCGGAACGTGGGCACTCACCATTTTTATAATGAGCTTCTGATCGGCGCCGATGTGCTGGGCCGTGCCGTCCGAGTCGTCGTTCTTGTGCTCCGGGTCCCATACCTCGGTCGCGTTCGATCCCTCGAGGGTGATTCCTGGACACAGAGAAGTCGTGAGTCGAGTAATCGCGGGGGCGGGTGGATGAGGGGGAGGGAGAGAGAGAGAAAAAGAGGAGCAGCGGCGACGGCGGCGCCGGCCGGCGACGCGTACGCGTGCCCCGTCGGTTGCACGAGATTACGCGCGGCGTATTACCCGCGCGTTAATATACCCGTGCACGCCGGTTCCGGGCACGCAACGGTGGTCCGGCGGCCGCAATGGCCGAAAGGCCCAGCCGGCGTCCACGGCCGATGCACCCCCTTGGTCGCTCAAATGGCCGACGGCGCGTAAGTAACCGCGTGCGTCGCGAAATAGCGGAGCCACGGCGACCGCGGCACCCTGGCCGACGATATTTACCGTACAGATACTCCTCTGCCATGGCGATCGGTCTGCTATCAGCGGATTCTCGTCAGCGTGAATGCGTGAGTTTGCCCGTGTAGGGGACGGCGGTTGCGGCGGCGGACGTGTGCGTGCCGTGCGCGGTGATGGAGTATGAGTGAGCGAGTGACGCCGCGCGCGCAACGGTTAGTGTGTTACTGCGCGAGGGAACGCCGCGGCCGGAACGAGCGCGTACTGCGCGTAGTAAATGAGTTTCGCCCTAGTGCTGGGCCTCGCGCGCGCGCCCGGACTACGTTCCGCGCGCCGATTGGTCGAGCGCGGCCGCGCGGCGTTGCCGCGTCGCCGCCACCGCCAAAAGCGACCGAGCGAGGTACTCCGAATTCCCGAAAATTTCTCCAGAGATTCCCGTCGTTTCTCGATTTTTCGACAATGGCTGCGTTCCGGCGTGCACTGCCAGTACTGAAAGTCCTATAGTTTACGTTATGTACATACATTATAGATTTTTCAGAAACTCTGCCGATGTTATCGATACATATAGCTCGATCTCTCGGTTTTGCATTGTCGGAAGACAAATTAACGTTTATTATTTTCATCTGACACGATTGTGTTGTTCAAAATAGCTGCTTTACATTGTTCAACCATGTGAAAATGCAAAAGTATAACGCCCTGCGCCATATTGACCACGTGTATCGCATGGAAAGATTAAAAAGTATTAAAGAATTTTGGTATTAGTATACGAAAAATTCACACAATATTATTATAAGTCACGAAGATCCAGTCTGGACTGTTTTTCTTTTTAATTGATTGTATATCATAACTCTTTTACTTATTAATATTATTATTATTGTTCAAGGAATTGAATTTTATATAAAATTTGCAATTGATCGTAATAAAATCGCTATAATGCTAAAATACTCCGAGCACTTTTCCAATTCTATGTAATAGCAACTAATAATTTATTGATTGTAAAATTATTCACGATAAAAATCATTCGTCTTTCGGAACGCGCTATAGAGGAATTAGGGGATTCGAACGCGCGGCGGACGCGCGGCAACGTCGCGCCTTTTGATTGGCCGGCGCCGGCGTCGACTCTGGTGGCGATCGCGCGCAACTACTACCGTCGGCACATTGGTCCGCGGCACACAGACGCAATAAATAGATAGCGGACGCAACACGTGAACGGAGTTCGTTCGCGAGTCCCGCGATTAAATGTCATGCCGATCGGCCCGCTGACGATCTCACGTCGCGCTCGCGCCAGCTGATGACGGACGAGATTCTTCGCGCGTCTCCAAACGATCCGCCTGTGAAGAATCGCGAGTCGTAAAACACGGTCCGCTCTTCTTCCTCACGGTGACGACAACCGACAACGTCGTACTCCCGTCGGAAATGCGTGTCGACACGTGCATCCTGCTGCTCTACCTGTCGCTCGCGATTTTCGGCGGCGCCGAAAAAAACGAGAGCGCCTTCGTCGCGACGCATGAATGGCAGACGGTGAAGAAGGGTGAGTATCCGCTGACGCGGGGGCGGGGGACCGTGCCCGATCGTGGGACTACTTTGTACGCCGACCGAGATATCCGTCTCTTCGACACCACGTCAGTCAAATTCGCCGTGACGCGCGACCCTTTCGCGACGAACACGGGGACGCGATCTCGTGTAACGCGGGGTTTTCAGAGTTCACTCGGAGTCGTTTTAAATAAAAAGAGTAGCGAAAAACTCTCGATGGTCGCTTTGCAGATTGCTGCAGATTGCTGCAGATCGCGAGCGCCTCCAGTGACAGTGACGTACGTTCGGATTGGATTACGTGGTCCAAGAACATGCAGTCTCGAGAAATTAAAATCTCTCTCTAGAATAATTGTCCTTTTTTTAACTTATACTGCAATTACTTGTTAACTTATTTTTTTAACTTATTGCAACTTTTTTTGAAATTTTTGGAATGTATAATATTGATAGGATTTACTCATAAATATTCGAGAAAGCTCCAAAAACTGTTTAGATGAGTAATCAATATTCATGAGAAATGTAACTGGTGTGCTTTTTAATAAAATATGAATGAATAAAACTGATTTTGTCGCATAAATGCATCTTAACGTGAAAGTTAGCTGTAGAGCTGAAATATTTAAGTCGAATTAAACATTGTAGATATATGCTGATAATATTAATAAAGATGTGATTTTATCAGGAACCCCCATCCCCAAGGGACTTCACGTGAGACATAATTTTGCAACCGGGGTGACGGAGGCTAAATTGATGGACGATGCGGAAGAAGACGATGAAAATGCAAACCGATCGAATTCCAAGTCGTTGACGTTACATCCGGATAAGTCGGTCATAGAAGACGAAGAGCCGGATCTGCTGAAAGTAAAGAAAGTTACGGACATGATTATCGACGATTTGAAAGCGAGTTTGAAGAAGCTCAAACAAGATGAAGCGGACGCCGCAGCAAATACGAATGTAACTATATGTTTTTTGTGACATTTAAGAATTGAGTTTTGTAATTATCGAAAAACGGGACAGATTCTGTCACGTGAATGTTGTTGCACGTGAATTGCAATTGTGTTTGAAGTTTTGCTTATTCATATACTTCCAAAGTATTACATTATCTTGAATTCTAGATCAAAGATATACATTAGGTTTTTAATTAAATATTTGGAAATAAAAGTTTAACTGTTATGTCTTCTGCTTTTTTTACTCTAGGACGGAGAGACCCGACCAAAAACTGAGAAGCGTTTCAAACGTTTTTATGAAACTCTGAAAGAGCAACTTAATGCTCTTAAAGTCAACGTTACGAGCGATTCAGAATTATTAAAGAGATTTTTTCAGAAATTCCAATCTTATAAAAATAGTATCACTACTGGTACGTTAACCAGCATAGAGATTGAAGAGGTATTGGATATCTTAAACAATTTAGAATACCTTCTTCATCAAATAGATAATGCTAAAATGTTCTCGGACATGGATGGGTAAGTACGAACCGATACAATTTTTTTTAGAGACACAATTGTTTATTATTATTTTAACTAATTTTTTTTATTGCAGGCTAACTAAGATCATATCACCATGTCTCAATGGAACTAACAATGAAATAAAATCAGAAGCATTACGCCTTTTAGGAGCAGCTGCCCAATCAAATCCAAAAGTGCAAGCTAAGGCACTAGAAAATGATTTTATCCAAAAAGTATTGCACGTATTGTCTACAAATAGTAAAATTGAAGTAAAATCCAGATGTATGTTTGCTCTAAGTGCCTTAATACGTCAGTTCCCTGCTGCTCAGAAAGCTTGGATTGATCACGGTGGTTTGCAATTACTTGGGAAGATTCTATACGACGATCAATTACAGATACAAATGAAAGCAATGAAATTAATTAACGATCTAACGATCGAAAGACGGAATCTGGAAGAGATCTACGATGCCGAGCAGCGTCAGCAAAAAATGAGGGAGTACGCTATTACAGACTTCGAGTTAAAATTACTAAGGCACGATTATTGTAAACTCTTAAGTAACTTAATGGTTAAGTGTTTCAAAGAAAAGCTAACTGGCCAATTCAGCATAGAAAATAATGATTTTCTCGAAGTAGTCTCGGACAGCATGATCACGATAGCTCCTGTTTGTAAAAATGAATTTAAGAACATTAAGCTCTTACCTGTTATAGATAATCTCTTACACTTTTATCAAAATCCTAATATTATACTCACTGTGGATGAAACTGACGTTTTAAAGAGTTTAATATTACTGATTGAAAGATTAAAACTAACTATTTTTGAAGCACCTCATGATGAACTATGAAAATTGTGAGTTAATGTCTAAGATAATTGAAAATATACGAAAGTGTATTAAAGACTATAAACTAAATTCCAGTCTTACGTTAATAAATATGCAATCGTGTGCAATAACATAGGACTATTTAATTTGCATTTGTTTTAGTCAGTGTAAAAAGTTTGTGAAAAGAAGAAAATCATCGTCATAGTAATTGCAATAGTTTTGAAAAAGAGAATATTATCTGCGGATGAATGATTAGCTACAATTTACAAATCTTAAGGAAAATCTAAGCAAAAAGATATTTTGCTATTCTAACATAGGACTTATTTAATTTGCATTTGTTTTAGTCAGTGTAAAAAATTTTGCGAAAAGAAGGAAATTTTAATTATCATCATAGTAATTACAATAGTCTTGAAAAAGAGAATATCATCTGCGGATGAATGGTTAGCTACAATTTACAGACAATTTAAGAAAAGTTTATCTAAGCATAAAAGAGCTATTTTGTTATTCTAAACTGTTCATTATATCCCTACTGTAAATAGCTCGTCATACTTACAGCATTGATTAGTGGAACACGCAGGTTCTCGTCTCTTGCATCCAAAGTATGAGATACTAGTCATTAGATGTCAATTAAATTTCAATTCATTTTTTAAATGACAGTAGTTTTTTTTCTTGTTATAATGATTTTTTCATTGTATGGGGGGGGGGGGTATCTTTTATATTGGCCTATCAAGCTAAAAATTCGAATTAAGCTAAACTAAACGTTCGAATTAAGCTCGCTTTTAAGTTCAAGAGACGGGACCTTTTGATATTTGATTTGATCATGCAGCTCAATTAACGTTTCATGTATACACCTCACAATTATGTGGGGACAACTAAGAAAAATATACTTTGGAAAGTAAAACGACTGAAATATATACGTGTACATATAATATGTAAGATTTTAGTTATCTGGCTGTCACATACCAAGTACGAATAACTGTTACGTTTTTCTTCTGTTTTAGAATAATTATTTAATAATTAATAAATTATTTTGTACCGATTATACGCCACATCTTATTGTCTGAAAGTTCCTGTAGCATATATATTTAATATAAAAGAAGTGAAATATGAACAATCGTAGAATAGTATATTTTATTTACAAATCATAGCATTAGAGATTACATAGATATGAACAGTTTTCATTTATATAACCATGTAATACATGGAAAATATTTTTGTAAAAGATGTTAAATTTTAACCAGTTCCCCAAATAGGGTCTCTATTTACAGGTGCAGAAAAGAGCACTCCTGTATCATGCACTCTGAATGAAGTAATACCTTGTTTTCACCTGTTAAGTACAAGGATTGCGTTATCTTGTGCAACTCATAAAGTATGAACATTGCGCATGATACACGAGGCTAAGAGAAAATTACAAGAGCTAAATTTCTTCTGGAAGTTGCATTCGTCTTTACACAAATTGAAAATTTAACAAAGTTTATATCCCGTAGGTATATTTATCTAAATTTCATCTGATTTATAATAGCTAGATATCTAACGAAATACGAAGCTCGATCTGGAAAAGATACACAGTAGTATCTTTCATAGATATACTTGACGCGATATATTACTACGTCTTTTAATAAATTTTAATGAAAATATATTATCATCATACACAATTTTCTTTAATATCGATAAAGATGGAAATATATCAAACAATTCTGCATACTTTAAATTTTTCTTGGGGCTTTTTTTGGCCGTGAATATTTGCATTAAGATATAGAAGAATACATACTTCGTGAATATTTAATGCCAATTAGTATAGGCGTAGATGAAAGAAACATAATTAATTTCGCTTTATACAATTTACTCATTGGGTCTTACGTGGTCAAAACGTAGTCTCCATGCGATTTTACAACAGGTTTTATTAAATATGTTAAAAAGGTCGCTATATCTAAACTCGGAATTTATAAAATTTAAGAGCAAGAAAAAAAAGAATTTGTATGTTATTTTATCATAATTAAGTTGTAATGAATGGAAAGAAACTTATTTAGCTATTGTAATTTTCTCTTCGTAGTCTCATGTATAACGTTATCACGTTATTAATGACAAAATAACTATTATGAACCTCCTGTTGTGCGTTCGTATATAATTTAAATGTACATAAATACAATTTTATCATAAGGCAATACTGATAGCACCCAGCATGTCGCAGTATAACTGATCATCTTTTTAGTAGAAAAAGGCAATATCAGTTAAAAATTAAACCTATTGACATATATTGCACAACCCCGGATTTTACCAATTTGTACGCAACTTTTCGTTACTTAAATTTTTTATTTTTTTTTAATTGTAAACACAATTTTTTAATTGAAAACACAATTTCAATTTTTTTAATCTGAATTGAAAAGTTGAATTTGGATGATTTAACTTTATACTTCATTGGTATTAAATTATTTATGAAATGCACATCCTTGTATTTAGATGAAATAAATATTCACAGCATAAAGGGGTAATGTTAAGAAAAATTCAAAGTGTGTATAAACCCCGAATATATATTTATATCATTATCAATCGATATTATTGCAAAAAATTGTCAATACTTGGAATTAAATTTTTAACTGATGTCAGATTGTCTTGTTCTTAGAAAAAAATATTAGTTATGGAAAAATATTAATATTGTACTTTATGATGAAATTTGCATATTTGCGTGTATATATAAATTAAATGAGATTTATAACAGCATTTCTCAAATCATCTTGTCATTATAACGCGATAAGTAACTTAATTTTGATAAAATAATATATAAATTCTCTCTTTTTTGCTCTCGTTCACTCTCTCTCTCTCTCTCTATTTCTCTCTCTCTCTCATCCTTCTCTCTCTCTCTCTACGTTATTCACTGAAAGACTGTGATAATCTCGGACTAATATTTCTATATTGAAAAATATTCTTAGTAGAAAATATTTTACAACTCTTTAGTCCTTGTTACTTAATCTCGAAATGGGAATTGCACTAATGAGGAAGGAGGAACAGTGACGATAAACGACTCTTTTATAATTTAACATAAATTATTTTCATATACTCAAAATAATGATGACAATAAAAAAAGATACCACATGTGCCATGCTCTTTCAATAAATAGTAGAGAGAAAAAGTATTGTATAACTTTATGGCAACTTCAGAATATTGTACTGATGCATATCAAGACAACTGAAATTTACATTATAACATAACAAACTTCTCTGCAATAACTATATCTTCACTGAAGTATATTTGACCTAAACATAGATTAACGCAGCCATGATAATGACTCCCAAAAGTAAAGCGCCAAGTTGTTTCAAAGATTCTTTTGTATTCGTTTCTTTCAACAGATCGGGCAGGATGGTCACTAAACCAATGTGTATGAATCCTCCTGCCGTCAATGGCAATATCCAATTGGTTCTTTCCTCTGAAAAAAAGTTAAATATAAATTCATAAATTCTATTCAACAAAATTCTAATATCTATATAATAGATATTAATAAGATTAAATTATTTATATAATATACTATAAAAATATTTAGAAATTATTTTTTATGCAAAGCAATAGATAAAATAAATTAATTATAAAAAAATTATAAAATAAATAACATTAAAATTTTTACAGCTAAGTTAATAAAAAATGCAACTATATTGTTATTAGATTAATTTATCTTTCATTATTTTTTATCAAGTTTTCATAGACCGTTTTACGTTTCAAATTTTGAAAAATATTTACCTAAACCACCGGTAAAGGAGACGGCTGCCAGAGCACCAACGATCCCACCGGTAGCTGTGATTAACTGCGCCTGCGCAGCATCCCATCTGCTAAATCCGCTTCGCAATAGAATAGCAAAATCGCCAACCTCATGAGGTATTTCATGCACCAATATAGTGAACGTGCTGAGGACACCTACACGGAAGGAAATTAGGAACGAGCCACCCACAGATAAACCGTGAGTAAAATTGTCGAGGAAGTTCATCAAAAGATTCAGGTATCCGGGAAAGGATTTGGGATTGAAAAATTTGCGGAACAAGTCGGAGGTGAATTTTTTTGTCCTTGCAGTCAAACGATTAACAATATTGCTCGGTGAGCGTACGATAGGAGAGTCAACGCGTGAAATCGCCGATGTGAAGCCATTAGTCTTCGCAAGTTTTTTCAAGCAGCACCTCGCCTCGTCGACCAGCGGGCATTCGTCATTAGGACACTCGCTTGCTAATGCAGATTTCATAATATCAGCATCTTTAAAACCGTTCTTTCGCATATCTTTGATACTGATTTTTGGGACTTGAGCAAACTCCATCTTAATGGATTGTTTTTCCAGAAATTGTACCTATTGCAAAACGTGTTCGATCATTAGACAGTTATTATCGATTTTAAATAATATTATAGCATTAGATTTTTAATTACATTACATTACCTCGGTCGTATTTTTCAGACACTTTTTTAGAAAACTGTTCTTCTCAGTGCACGTCATTTTGATACAATTATTATTATCCATCTCTTTTTCTTTATTTACATCTTTGATCGAAGTTTCATCAGTCTGCTGTTCTGCAATGATCGGAGCTTCCTCGTTTACAGCGGCGATGAGTTTCTCGACGATTACGAAGAACAGGAAGGCGGACAACACCCACAAGCCTGCGGGCGTAGACGCGTGATTATCTTTGGCTGTAAATAAAATACATAAAAAAGGTAAGTCAAATAAAAAAATATAATATTTTCAAATAAACTATATAATTTTATAATCATTACTAAAGTATCATTTATAATATCACTAAATATAAGACTGATCCATATTCACAGTCGCATAATGTATTGTTTTCTTTAACGAGTTTTTAATATTTATTGTTATTTAGATTGTGTAATTTATTTTTACGGTTTGACTATTCTTTCTACTGACAATAGCGACAAAGGCGCAAGAAATATAAGATGAAAGAAATTTGCAATTCAAACCGAGCAATTTACACGGATATTACCAGTCCGCCGATCACTTCGAATTTCTAACGCGGTTCGGTCGGAGGAACATTTAATTTACGTGGACGCAGCTGGCAATTCAAATCTGCAACTGACGCACAATAGAATTCGAAGCCGCCGCTTAAATCGTTCATAAAGCTCTCGACGATGCTCTTCAAGACCGCACTGACCGCAGTCGTACTCCGTTAACGTGCAGGACGTTGCAAAGCGCATTCAGAACCTATATGTAATACGCGTACAATATCATATAGAACAAGCCAGGAATTCCAGATATATTGTATCGTATTCGTTACATATTCGTACTGTGTCGGATTTCGCCATACCAGAAATATCAAGCAATGGTTCATTTATAACGTAGATAATCCAGGCTACTCGTTGTTTTTTTTTTTTACGTTTTCTCCTAACGCCGTTAGTTTTGCATGACGTACAAATACATCATCCAACCGTATTACTCGTTTAATTAGTTTAATAATTGCATGAAAGAATGTAAATCTTATACGTGATAAAAATTGTTCTTTTTATACACGTGTGTGTAGATTTACTTCTACCCATTATTCTTCACGAAGTAATTCTATTCATTTGCATTATCGTAATCAACTTTTTATATATTTTTTTACGACAAGGTCAATCTTATCAATATGATATATGAAAATTTCCTTGTACGATAAGATAGATGATCCATTTAGTTACGTCACCGCGTATGTACAAGGAAGAAAGTTCTATATGAAAAACAAATGAAATTACCTCTTGTTTGAAATTCGCTCGCAAATGCTTCCGGCAGAAGATGTAGAAAAACATCGCCCAGCAATGCGCCCACGGCAAAGCTCAAAAGGATCTTCAAAGTACCACCGATTTCTGCAATGAAAAGGATAAAATTAATGCTCATTCCATACGTGCGGATTAGACAGATAGAACATTTAAATTGTAAATTCGACTTTGATATTGGATTAAAGAAAATCTTGAAACGCAGAGCTCGTATTTCGTCAACAAGGAAAAAGATATAAGAGCAAGGAGCAAAATGTGCGATATGAGAAAATGCAGTGGACGATGGGAACCATAAATCCTGCAATCAATCGTTCACGTATATCGTTGCGGACGCGTATATGGTAGACGAAGATAAGTCTGAAGCGAATTCATGCGACAAAATGAAGTACGGGCGTTTACGTTTCTTTGCGCGTAGGTCACGGAATATGTGCGCCCAATTGACTCGCTCTGATATTGCCTACGTACATTTATCTCATATTTAGATCGCATAAATGGAAGATTCGCAACGTTCAGAAACAATTTCTCTACGTCGATTTATACTCGCGGTGGAAATTGGTAAAAATTAACTTTCCTTCCCGGCTACTCAATATTTATTTAAATTGCATATATGTACTTCGCAGAAAAAGAAGTATAAATAATCATAAATATCGCGATGTGTGTGTCGAGAAAGAAAGTTAATTAATTAATTGCAACTGCAGTTAATAAAGACATGTTAATTACGGAATATGCAGTTATAATAGTTAATATGTAGTAATTAATATCTGCAGTTATCTATTTAGGAAAGTATATACGGTGCATCATAAATTATGAGGCATGCACATCACGTTAAGCATACGCGATTAGCTCGTGTGATGACAAATAAAAAATTTATGATTCTGCGTATATAGTACGACGTTCGACGCAATTGATAACCGCTAATAGACTACAGTAGCCTATCTACTCTGGTGCAACAACAGCTAGTATGCAGAGGAGGCCACCAGATGATAACGACGCGTGATGTCAACGCGTGATTCATGGGGAAAAGAGAGGAAAAGGAATATAAATAATACGTGAGCGGGCCTTGATCTCATTTTGACACGACTACGATTGTATCACCGTTCTTCTCTTGAACTCGTTTGTCGCAGGTCGCAGCTTGTCGGACTGTCGCGAAGAAAAAAAAATGCAAGATGTTTTAAACAATTTCTCTTCCTATTGTCATAGAATTCTAATGTACACGCTTATACTGCAATCAGGAACTATTTAACTTTATGAAACAATCACCAGTAAACGAGCGTCGCAATTTCGTTGTCTTTACGTTCATTTCTACTGATGGAGATCTTCAATCGGTTTAACTTACTTTCTGTCTTTCTAGTTCTATAAAAAACTAGAAAAGTAATAGAAATAGACATTAAAGATATGAGTTTTGACTCGCTATAACTTGCAACGAGAGATAAGTCAATGCGACGTCTCAATTTGAGAGATTACCGATGATAGATTTATTTATATCCGTAATAAATATCCCATAATGTTCCAACAATATTATTCCACAAACTCCCATATTATTTTCATTAACTGCACGTTGTTGTTATTGACAAGACTAGCTTATTCTTATATAGGAAATGCTATTTCTGATACGTCAGTGTCAATTTAACCATACAGAATCGAATGAACGGAAAGAAATATAATCAGTTTCCGGGACACCAGCACATTGTTAGCCAGTTGTAAATTCGTGTGGTCGACTCATCGATAACTTGTCCGATATCACGACCTACTTCTGATACAGACGTATTATTATTACACTATATCGGCATTAGGTTGCATCAGTTTCAATTAAAAAAAAAAAAAAAAAAAAATTCGATCGGTATAGTTAATATAACTGGAATGGAAAGAGAAACAAAATGTTGCTAGAAAGTAAATATGCAACGTGCTGACGGCGCAGACAGATAAGATTGGACAATAAGGATATTGTTTTCTCTCTCACGCAAATTCTACTTTCCATAAACAAACGTTATTCTGTGAGTAATTCTATGAGTAATCCTTTCCTTTATTGCATTATTCTTTATTCCAATATAATATTATAAGTTATTATAAATAATATATAATATATATCGTAATTTAATGTTTTCATTAAGTACATTTTTTGAAAAGTTTAATTTGTTAGAAACATGATAAAGATATATAAATTGAATATATAAATCAAAAGGTTTTTAAATATTAAATTTTTTACAAGTTTTTTTTAAGATTATAAGTGTGAAAAAGATCTGCGACGTATGTCGAGTTTTCATTCAAAATATGTGCAATCTGTTATTCTCCAAAACGATCCACTCTTGTACAAAAGCTAGGCAAAAAGCTGAAATTTTTCATAACCTGTGTAGGATCAAAGACTGATTTACTGAAATGAGCTTTGTGAGTTACGTCTTCTTCCCAAGGGGAAACATCGCTTGCATGAGCGCGAGGCATGTGTGTATCTCATTTGAAATTCTATCTATAAACGTGCATCGTGCATGTAACTGGGCAATGTAACAATAGCAGACGCTTTATCCCTCGTATTTGTTTTTAGTTTGAGCAATTGCTTGCGGATAAGCAAGTTTAGCACGTTTCTGCGTTAAAACGTTTAAATCATACAAGATTAAAAAAAGAATAGAACTGCACTCCTGTTGCGTAACACATCAGGAGGTAAACCTGCACGATGTTACACGGAACATCTCTCTGGAACGCGCTGCACGGTGTCACATGAGAATATCTTTATCAGCATCAGCACGACGTTAATCATAAAATGTGCGAGGTGAGACTTGGAAAATTCAATATACAAGTAATACATATTTAATGTATAAATAATAACTAGCAGAATATTACTCTGATGATTAAATAAATACTACAAAATCTAAAAAAAAAAAATTAGTAATTTTAAAGAGAATTTACGTTCTAATTCAATTTAATTGCTCCGTTCAAGAAAACATGCCTTTACTTATGTCCTTTGTTATTGTATCTCGATGTGTACTTGAAAATTTATTGCGTCGGGGATTTTATATGTTGCAATAATCGCACGCATTGCGAGAGTTAGCGTTTATTGACGCATTTCCTAGAAGCGTGTGTGCAATTAATTTATCTCTTTTCATATCGAGCTCTCGAATAGTGTGCTAAAACTGATTTTTCCTCTATTTGTTTTTCATGCAAAAATTACTAAATAATTAAAATTACGACGCTATAAATATAAAACAGTACTATAGATTTTGGGGACAATTTCATGTTTATATATTAAAAATGAGAAGAAAAAAAGAAAATTGGGAACGCTGTTAAAATGCGGCAAGATGCGCATAAAGAGAGATAATGATGGGTACTTGTAATTTGAATAATGATACATGTCGCAAATTCGTAATAGATGTCGATGTCGAAACTGCTATTGGAATAATATATAATTCCACTGGGTAATAGAATTATACCAAGAATTATGGAGAATACGAAGAATAGCTGTAACTGAGTTTTTAAGGTACTAAAAAACCGCATGATGAATTTGTCGACAATAAATTACAGGCTTTTCTCGCATTACATTAATAATTAACGGATTTATTTTATAAATGTAATAAGAAAATTTACATAATAATATACGAATATTAAAACTTTTCGATTTAATTTTGGAATAAACTCATGTTTTTCTTTAATGAGTTATTTTAAATGCCAGATTTGTCGACAATAAATTACAGGCTTTTCTCGCATTACATTAATGACATTTTAAATTTAATTTTTATAATATTCAGGAGAGTAAGGCAAATGTAACAAAACACAACAATTTTGCAATCAAACAAGGGAAGATGTCTTAATTGTTAGACATAAATGCTCAAATTATCTTATAAATGTGTATCGTCAATCGAAATTATTGCCATCTTCACAAGACTCACATAAAATATTCACATTTTACGCAGTTATCAGTATATAAACAATTATGTAAGATTATTTCTGATATTAAAATCATGCACGATCGTACATACTCGACATGCACATGTTTGCAGGTTTTTCCCCAGTATATTACGCGAGTATCAGGCTTCCTGGCACGTGGCTGATAAATAAATTATTATCGTCCCACGGGACTGCACAATAGGCGTGTGCAGAGATTCCAACGTTCTCGAGAAGATGATAGCACGTCGAAAGATCGTGGCAACGAATCGTAACAACAGTTTCCTCGAAGACTTCGAAAATAGATAAAACTACGGTGGCAAAACTTCTGACAATTTTATCAGATGTTTCAAAAAAGTAACAAGCGTATTGTGTGCGTCTTTTCTATATATAAATTTAATTTCTTTTTCATGAAGATATAATCCAACGCATTATTACTCTGACAATTAATTAGTACACTTTGGCAAGCTAAAAACCTGCAATTATATAAAGATTAACGCAATGTGAGATTTCTAAATTATTTTTAGCCAAAATTCGTAGCGCGAAACATTATTTCCATTGGTGAAACGATTAATGTTAAAAGTTAAAGAATTATACAATATTACAAGAATATAGAATTAAATATTTATTATAAAGATATAACATTAAATTTCTTTGAGAATGCTGTTTTGTTATTATTTTATCTTGTATTTTTTATGACAGTCTCGTAATGCGCGTTGCCAAGAATTCTGAAGTAGTACTCGTCGCATCTTGAGAATACAGATGTGACAATTGTATTATCGTATACATGGTTAGAATAAGTCGCTATATTTTTCGTCTGTAGTTCGTGGAAGAATGATATCACGCAAAAATATTAATGTATTATAGTAAAATACATATTAGTAAATATGTATAAAGACAAGTGACACCAAGCGTGGGGGATAAAGCGTAATTAAAACGTATATAAACGTAAATTACATAGAAAATTACAAATTAAAAATGCACTTCTTTAATTTAATTATTCTGCACTGAAGAGAGGTCTAAACCTAAGACCGAAACGTATATGTTATTGTAATTTATTGTATAATATGTAATTTACGTTCGCTTCACCACCGGCGCTTGCTCTCACTTGCCTTTATATGCATTTTACTAATTTGATTGTATATCTGGAGATCTGTATCGTTGTTTTCGTATAAATTAATGTGTATATTAAATAATATGCAAATTAATAGAACACAAAACTACGCTCATCGTTCCACTCTGCTAATTTGTATAAAATATAAAAAAATATTCAGTTACTGTTTTTATATTTTTATATTGAGATAAATCGATTGGGTAGTCATAGAAAGTAAGGGAAAATAAGAAAATAAGTGAATTCGAAACGTCTAGTACAGAATTACGTCATAATTATATATAACTAACAATAAAAGAGTTTCATTATCTCTAAATCGCGATGTTACCGATATAGATATCGTCAAATATGACAATAATCATATTTGATTGTAAATTGTAAAAACTGTGAGATTAGAGAATTAGTTAAAGTTAAGATCATCAAGCAGGGGAGAGAGGTAAAACTACCAAAAAAGATTTAATCTGTGATAAAGTTGAAAAAATAAATTTACTATATCAAGAGAGTTGATCGATTATTTCAGATTATTTTAGCGACGCAGAAATACGCGCGTAATGTATGACCGCCGACGGCAATAAAACTATTAGACCGACACAAATGTTGGGAAGTATTTATCGATCAAAGTTCCAAAAGTAGTTTAACATGCAATATTGACGATGTAGATCGTAGATAACTTGATGAACAAAGTTCACGGTAAAATCTATTAATATGCAAGTTGGTGCGTTTAATGCATAAAAGATAAAATCTGTTCTGCAATTCTCATTGTCCTCATTTAATAGAAAAAATTATTATCGCGGGGAAATGTAAAGTAAAAAAGAATATTTAACAGTTTAAAAGAAGATTTGTTTTTCTTTCTGTGAAATTACCATCTTATTTTCAGAATAATTAATTGATTCGATATAATTGATAATGGGATGCTGATTTTATCTTCAATATCGGCACAAAAAAGATAATTCATATGGTATCAAGTGATAAATCTTGTTAATATCTTGTTAACACACATATAAATCTTCTTGTCATTTATTTTTTCATTGGATTGATATCGCTCGGAAGATCTGTTAGATAAAAAGCGAAAAAAAATTCAAGTGCGAGGTGATTAAAGTTACTATTTTTATTTAAGAGTGACTTGAAAAAAAAACATGTCTTTTGAACGCGACACGAACTTTTCCACGGACTTTTAGCGATAAAAACTAAAATTGTCTGGCTTGAGATTAATGATTGCAATATGTACACATAATATACTGCAAAAGTGATATATATGCCTTATAAAATTTGCTGTAAATTTTATAAACGTAATTCCTTGATAAACTCGAAATAAATTTTAATTGTATTTTAATGGACAGCCACGTTTTATTTCAATTTTGCAATGCTTAATTGCTTGTCTTGTTTAATACCTTGTTAATATTAAACCTACAATTAAATTAAATTAAAAATTGATTAATTTAATTGGTAAAAAATCTTTAATCTTCAATACTACATTATTCTTGTCCTAGACTGATTTAAATGGACTTAAACGTGCAAAAATGAATTTTAATTGTAAAAGTTCATTGGAATGTACGCTTTCAAATGCAAAGATAGATGCGAACCCGGCGAAATAGCTCGTAAAAGCAACGTGAAAAGGTCCGCCGACGGTTCCGGATCGGCGCGCGAATGAATCTTTGTCGCCGACACGCAATTTAATCGCCGATAGAAAAAGTCGGTGTCGTAATACGAGTTTTTGTGTTCGCGCATTGGGGGGAACGAGTAAATTCTCGCAACTTTCTACATTTGTAATTTTGTACGAAACTTTGTACTATTAAAGTTTGGCTTGGCGATGTAACATTTACCGTTAATCTCGCTAGTACAATAACTTGGAATCGCCGCATCGTTGATTCGGAAAATACGAGATAATAGAGAAAGTTATGACACGCCGCTCCAACGTGGACATAACTGCGGTATTACTCGCAAAATGGGAACAACGAGAATATATCTGAATTTGCGAGAGAAATGCCGAAGCGCGCGTCTAACTGCGATTCGTTAATTTCAGTTCCGTTTAGAAACGTGTTTATCTAGCCAATTAAAACCGCTTGCTCTCGATAAATTCGCTGTTACGTTGTACGAACAACTTGGGCGTCTCAGCGGAAATCCATCTATTCGCCTCGATTGTGAGAAAGGAACGAAAGAAACAATGTATAACATTTATCTTCGCGCAAGAAGATGCGAAGAGAGAGGGAGAAAACCAGCGGATGAGAAACGGACTTTCGCATATCGGCGTGATTCCGTACGAAAGTTAAATTAAAGTCGGCGATTGAGAACACGATCGATTCCAATTGTCACCACGGTCACCATTATAGCAACCGCAAATTCGCCAAATGTTATCGGCGCGAATGAAATTTTGGCGAATACCTACCATCAGACGTTTCCGTGAATATAAATACTGGTTTTGTTCGAGGGAGGTGCGACGAGATTCGGCTCGATATCAAAGCTCGAAAATGTTGGCTTTGGGGTGCGTATCTATAGCGTGCGTTCCTGTGTAGCTTGTAGCTACGAACTGTTGGTAGCTTTGAGATATTTTTCGCTATTTTTCCAAAGGTATATCCGCGGCAGACGGTAACGCAAATATATGATGCAGCTTCCTCTTTTTCTGTCCAGCTGCGACCATGCAAAACCATCATGCGACGGCTGTTTCTCGGGTTACGTTACGAACGGCTGTTTACGGATTACTTCAACCGACAGAAACTCTCCGAGAACGAATAGCTATTAGATCGTACCAAAATGGTCCAAGTTTTCAAACAAGTATACAAGGTTTCGGACGTCGAATACGTTACACTTCGTAGTATATTACCGTGCGATTTATCAGACAATAAAACGAACGAAAACGAGTTATATTCTTCCCGTCTTCAAAAGAGCTGTTTGCAGAAAAATATTAAAATACACAGTCCAACTGTTCTGTCGCTTTGAGCGACATCAATGTACTTAGCGTTTCTATGTAAACCAACTGTTGTAGCTTTGACGCATTTGTCGCTTTTCCAAAGGTTACTCTGGGAGGCTCCACGAAAAACAAGATTAATAGCGTTTTTCATTGGCAGAACTAGTGCGCACTTAGTGCACATTAAAGCCGTTGTACACTGATTTAATCTTTAATATTTAAAGTATAATGCAAATATTTCAATTGATAAAATAGCCAATACATATTTTACCAAACAGTACAATAAAGAATATTGAGGCTTTCGTAACTTAACCCGTTTATATTAAACGTACACATTACGTTGATTTGTGTACAACGGCTTTAATGTGCACTGGAGTGCGCACCAGTTCTGCCAAAGAAAAACGCTATAAGAGTGTTGTGTGTTAAAACAACGTGTTGCAAAATTTTTGTTTTCAGCTGTCGCAGGATGTCGCGGACACTCATGTCGCACAATAAACATTGTATGATAATTCTTTCTATGATAAACATTGTATGATAATTCATCGGACAGAATTGACTTATCGATTTTATACCACGTACCAAGACTAATTTTATCGGGTCGGAGGAGAGTCGATGTCTTCCGCAATGTCATTGAACTGCGCAGCTGTCACTAATCAGAATGATAAAATACAAATGAAGCGCGTCATATTCATCAAATTTCCCGTTATTTCGCAACCCTCGGTGGAAACGCTATGTATGCGTTGATTACCGTTGGCAGCGATCGTCGACTCTCCATTGCCTCGTGCGTAGTTAAATTTCAACACGTGGCGATACCGATCTGTTTTTAGGTGCAAGCGTGAATGCAGCTCTCCGTCGAACGATATTTAATTGCGTACAGTAAAACGTAATTTTGTTGGAAGTACGTATACATATAACGGGCACATTTTTATGCTCTGCGCGCAGTGCTTCTCGTTTTAACAAATTAAATGGCTTCTGCAAACGTTTTGTAATCGAGCAGACAGACGCCTATTTCGGTTCGCGCGACTAAATTTAATAAAACGCGATTAACATTTATTTATCTTTCCATATCCATTGTCCGTTATTCTATCTTTCAGTCATAAAATAATTGCGGGCATATGATTATATAATATCTCGCTCACTGTTAAGTATAAAATATGTATAGCCTTCGCTTCGCTATGTAGTTAACGTTAATTAGTGTGCTCGCGAAAAAAAACCGCATTTGAATGCGGCACTTATTACTTACACAGTGACATAAATATTAAAAAGGTGAAATTCCGAGTGAGTTTTATGTGAACAGCGTATTTAAACCCACTTCATTTTTAATTGCCTTCCTTAAAAGGTCGTCGGTCGTTGGCGCGGAAAGCTTCGACAAATAATCACCTCGGTCGTTCTTATCGTTAAGGAAAATGCAACGGTTCGTTTTTATTACGACTAGAATAGTCATATTGGCTATAATAATTTCTGATGCAACGAGGGAGATAAAAATAAAAAGTCGAGTTCAACGACGGATTTGTTACTTCGTTATATTCATTTCCCATGGAAAATATTACTGGAGTTATAAGCTCTTTTATGGAAATGCACGATGAGTACACAATAAAAACCAATTATCACGAAAAAAAACAAGAGAACAAAAAAAAACAAGAGAAATTTATTCCCTCTCGTTTTTATCGCGTCTGCTCCGTTGAGTTTCAATAATTGAGTAAATCGTCCTACTGCGGTTACCAGTTACAGTAGTAACGATAGCGAATTTTTAAAAACAAAGCTACGAGGACTTGATTACAAAAGCTATGTGCTTTGTTTGAAGCTGTCGTGTTCTTTGTACCTACGGTCATTAATGCATCAAGATGTTAACAATAGTATTTCAGGCACAATCAGTGTTGATTTAATAAGTGAAAATATTGGAGAACGCGGAAAACAATTGTACTAGAATTATAAATTATACACCATTTACGATAATGGATGGTAATACATGGAATCGAGCAGCAAATCTAAACTGTGGTTTCAAACTTCTAAAGAAAATACAACAGATGAAACATAAGAATATAAATCGGTCAAAGTCCTCAGATTAACTCCGATTTATTCTCCACGCGTATATAATTCGCAATAGAATAATGCGAAGCAATTTGGAAAAATTGCGATTTCGGCCAAGTATGACTTATCGCGTGGCAATTAACTTATATGTATGCCGTCATCATTGCGACAATTTTCGTCAAGATTATCGTGCGTTATTCAGGAGAATCGTCTCATAATTACTAATCTGGATTGTTCGGCAAAAACAAGAATGACATTGCTGAACACATGGTCAGTTTACGCCGCGACTATGTAAATGAGCGATAGTCGTGACTGATAAGGCAACGATCGTTCATGCAGCGCATTGTATGATTTTTCAGTTTTATTGTATGCAAAAAATAAATTAATGTGTATAATGGAGAATGCATGAATTTATACGAATTTTGTATAAAGTAATGAGTTTCATTTGCGATATTTCTTTTGTGAAGAAAATAGTGGTTTCGGATATCAAAATTAGACCTGTGTACTTTGATACCGTGTCTCAATAGGGAGACGTACTTATCTACATCCTAATACCTCATATTCGTTAATGACTACCGTATTTTACATATATACATTTACATCAACACTACCGGCCTGGTAATTATGCATATTAGGGGCGACCTCACAGGTTTCAATGGCCTTGATATATATTATCAAGGACACGATCCTGAGTACTTTTAAAAGGTTTTAGCCGTCGTTAATTAAAAAGTCATTAACAAAATAAGTCTTATGAATAGAATGTAATTTTTTGATCTCATGTACGTTAAAAAAAAAACCATTTTTTTAATTAATTTACATTTTGCCGAAGCTCATATTTTTCTCTCTTTACATCCTCGAAGAGTTATTTACCTCGAATAATGCTGCGCCATTTGGAAATGAGTTGGGCCAGATTAGAGTTTTTTGAGGAAAAAAGTGCAGAGAGAAAGGGGATCTGCCTATGCATTCAATTTACTACGTTTTAATAGGGATTCTTAATTAGCAAATTTATTCTTCACGTATCGGATACATATTTGCCATAAATGATACAAAAAAAAGTATCAATCTGTTCATGATAATCATAACGTTGATAAATTTGAAATTCAGCTGAATATCCCATATAATGTTCTTTCTGAATTCCGAGAAATATTTGCACGAGTTTCACGTCAAGCGCGTTCAATAATGCTATGTCTGTTTACGTTCTTAGCAAGTTATTATTTGTGATAATCAGTATACTTTTGCTAAGACTGGCTTACAGTGTACAATAACTACTCAAAAGAGCAACTACTTTGCCCTCCACAATATACATCCAAGGCCATTGAAATCTATGAGGTCGCTTCTAGTATATAGTATAATTACTTTAAGCCTGTGTACTTTGATACCATATCTTAATAGGAAATGTAGTACTACGTTTGAATATATACCTTATACTCGTTAATGACTACCAGATTTTACATGCGATGTAGATTCGCCATGTAGAATTTTTAACTTTCGATGGCTGCGTTCCGATATTCACTGCCAGTACTGAAAATCTATAGTATACGTGACGTAAATTGTAGATTTTCAGTACTGACAGTGAATATCGAGACGTAGTCGATGAAAATCTAATCGTTCATTGACTAACGTCTTCATTTATTTTCCATTCGATAAATTCTTTACACAACATAATACGAAATATTAGTTCTTATAAAAATATCAAAGTATATTTATCTTCATAAAATGTTATGGTTTTTTCATCGACAATAAAATCGGAGTAGCGGATTAAGATCTATATGTAATTATTATATTAAAGTGCAAAGCAAAGAATAATTTGCAATTAAGATAAATTTCATATTGTGTAAAAAAAAATGTGCACATTGCAGAATATAAAACTGATTATTAAAACCGGGACTGATTATGGAAAAAAGTTTCATCATAGCCAGAGGAAAGGCTCGATAATCACTTTTTATTTCATTATACACAAAGAATATGAAAGTAATTATTAAAATGGAAAAATGGATAAATTAAAAAAGTTACAAAAGTTATTCGACCGTATAGTTAGAAAATTAAACTTGATATTCACCCCTTCGTTCCGTTGCACACATTCAAGACTACAACAGTAATTATCAGGGTAAAAAAATTAAAAAAATTTTACTCGGCCGTAGTCGGAGAGGAAATTGAACCTAATATTCACTTAATATTCACCCTTTCATTTCGTCGTATGTACACATCCAAGAATATAAAAGTAACTATTAAAACAGATGAAAAAATTTTACTCGGCCGTAGCCAGCGCAAATTAAGCTTTAATATTCACCTCTTCATTTCATTTTATAATAATTATTAAAAGTAATTATTAAAACGAAAAAAAAAAAAACCATTTTTCGACCACAGCCGGGAAACTAATCGTATAAGCTTGAGATTCCCTCTCTTCGTTAATCACATCGCACAGATCTAGCCGAATTGCGTAATTAAAAAAGTTATTCGGCGAGTCGCGAGAGAGAGGCGAGAACGAGATAGAGCTCGGAGATTAGATAAAAAAAAATTCTCTCTCACGTCGCGTCGCGTATTTTTGTAATACGTTGCATAAGAAGAGAAAGAGAGAGAGAGAGGACACTAACCGCCGGTTTTCAAGTCCACGCCGTCCTGGATGGGGATGAGCCACAGGGGGAAGATACCCGTGAGGCCGACCATGGTGCTGCCCAGCAGAGAGAATATCCACGGATTGTACGTGAAGTATCCTACGATCTCGTGCCAGGGCAGCCATTCGTCGGCACCGGCGAGGATGCCGTCGCAGGCCGGCAGGACGTAGCCCGCGTCCGTGCAGTTGTTACGGGTGCACGCGTACGACGACGCCGCGGCGGCCATGTTTGTTGTCGTCGCGCGACTCTCTTCGATGTCAAAGCGTTCTCAAAGATCCTCGACGTTCCCCGACGTCGGAATTAAGCTTCCCGGGAAGCGGACGTCGACGTTAATATCTGGCCCTCCCTCCGGTCAAGGTTCACCTCTCGCCCACGAAAACGCGCGCGTGGACGACGTCGAACTGACGACAGCCGGAGGACAATTGTCCGGCTCCCACCGGGAGATAACCTCCTCGCTCCGCCGCGTCACGAGGAAGACGATGTTATCGCCGCGACGTGATCGGCGCGCGATCGACGTGAAATCGAAGTCCAGATCTCTCACGGTCTCCGCGACGGCAAGTGGAAGGACGGCGCGTTCGTCAGTAGTCTAGTTTGTTTTTTCTTTCCTTTTCTTTTTCAGCGCGAGCCCTCGTCGTTCTCCGCGCTCTCTGGCTCCAGAGTCCACTCCGGATGCTGGATTCAGCCTGGATGGACCTCTCTCGTCGCGGTTGGATCGACAACCGGGAGACAACGACCGCCGAGCGACCGACTAGCCTACACTGAGGACTGAGCACGGACGCTTGGAATCAGGACGTCGCCGCTGCCTGCTGCCGCTTCGTTGACTCGTTCCGGCCCGTCGTTATTTCATGCCGCCGTGCCGATCCGCGGACAAAGGCATCACCGACGCCGTGGCGATTGAACGCGCGCGATCACGAGATCTCGCGGAGACGCGCGTCGCGTCTCCTCCCCCGCTTAGATCACCCCGCGCGCTCGTCCGCTCCGCTTTCTCGCTCTCCTTATCGCTCTCCGCTTCCGCGCTCGATTAGCTCGCTCTTCTGCCTCTCGCACTCTTATCCGGGATTCACTGGTGTATCACCGAAGTCGCAGCGATGAGCGACCGACGACGACTGACGCGCGTTGCGCCGTGGAAGGCCCCTTTTATAGCCGTCGGCCACGTTACCGCGAGCGGAAGCGAGAGGGAACGCGAGAGCGACGCGCGTTCGACGAGGATGACGTCCGGACAGCGTCGGCGATGGCGGCGGGTGGGAAGCGAGAGGCGGTTCAGCGGGGCGACGAGGGCTAGTTCGTGCTCCGCGCGAGCGGAGTAACGGAGAACGCGAAAGGGTCGAGAGAGAGAAAGAGAGAGAACGATGCGACCGCGAGGCGAAGAAAGGGAGAGGAGAGGAGAAGAGAGAGATCGGAAGGAGAGATCAGAGAATCAGCGAGGATACGCAGTGGAAGATGCGAGTCGCGTTCGTTCGAGGCTGACGGAGGCGCTGTTTTTCAAACGGAGACACGTTCGGTCTCCGTTGTCCTTCAGCAGATTGGCTCCTCAAACAAATCTATAATGCTTCGTCGAGATTATTACAATTAGAAGTGGAAGACGACGAAGCGATCGAGCTGTAGGTTCAAGGACGCGTTCGGCTTCTTGCGCAACGATCGCGCGTGTCTGTATATACACTATACAGACTGGAGCGTTGCCCTCTTCGAGACGTCTTATGTCCCGATTTTAGATATTGTGCTGCTTGGGTAACATGTTTTCTTTATACAATTAAATATAATTTTTTGTTTTTTTTTGTTGCAATCAATGTCATTATTTGTCGATAGGCTTATCTGAGGCTTAGCGATGATAGCCTTGACAGAAGCGTCTTCCTTCAGTTTGGACAGATATTAATTCTCGCGTGTCACCCTTCCGCGCGCGCGCGCGCACGCTTCGTTTTCCTAAACTGCCCTAAAGGAACGAAAGCCGAGACGGGGGCGGGGGACCGAAACTGGATTACGTACGCGAGTGCTTTTGTGACGCCGGATCGATCTTGCGTCGCGTACAAGTCAAAGGAATCGGAATTGTATTTGCGACGTTTACGTTTCGACCAGGTTTCGACAGCTGTAATTCGATTCGCAACCGTGAGTTATCATTTGGAAAAGAAAATATAAATTGTAGCAAATATGTTGCCGAATTTAATGTTAGGTATATTATGTCTTTTTAAAGATTATAAATCCAGTAACTAGAATACGAAGGACGGGAAACCGTGAACGCACACGTTAGAACACAACGCTATCTAACGGGTGATCAAAGTATTCGTTGTGGTGTACTCTTCCGAAGATTGAGAGCGTGAAGCAATTATTTCACTCAACTCGTGTTGATAATAAAATATCTTTAGAAAAGTAGAATAGCGAAATACACATGCAATAATCGACGGCTTAGGTTTAAGTAAATATCTGCCGAAACATGATTTTGTTCTTTTTTTTTCTTTGGTATCCCGTATACGGTTATATTTAAGATTATTCTTGAATGCTATTTATACCGCTAATTGGCGAAATTCAAAAGTTATACTATAATTAAATCTCATTCATGTTTCATGTATTTAAAGCCTTTATCAACGTTATTTCAGATATGCACAATTTCGAATTAAATGTTTCAAAATATCTTAATCTCTTATTAGCGGCATTTTAATTAAGAAGAATTAATATCGCGCAATATTTCCGTTCAGAAAAGTACTTGAAATATGTCAGAAGCAGGCGATTAAAAATTATCACCTTATCAGATTGTATGATGGAGCGATAGGTTTTATTAATTTGACGAAATATTTTTGTAAAAATTACTTAAGTAACGAATGTGCTGTTCGTAATAATATAGAATGTGTCATACGGTTTCAAATTTTCCAAATCTGTTTATAAATGTACAAGTTATCTGATATTTTATTCGTCAAATCTCGACTTGTGATCAACGTTTGCTCGTTGCGACACAATTTTGCGACGCAATAAAATTAAATCACGAGAAAATAACTCGACCTGATATATATATAGATATAATTATATGATACATTTCTTCGCAGTATACGTTTTATTTTATTGTATTGACGTAAAGCGTTATCCACCTAATCTTCGATGAATTTCTTTGACTCGAGAATTATATGAAATTATTGCAGAGTTATCGCATAATTACTTTCTACTCGCGCGATAGTGGATTGTATCGTCGGCTCGTTGCAATTTGCTAATCTTATCTATCATGCGCTGATCGCCGTAAATAGCGAGGAAAGAGATGCGCAGTTCTCGTTGCGAATTATGCATGCTAAATTCGCGCGATCAAACGTGATGAGTCGATAATTAGACGTGGACTCCTTGGACGATCACCAATTCGCGTCAACGGACGTCGGCGAGTGCGTATGAGTATATAGCGAATACATATAAGTCGCGCATCCGGTCTAATGTTTATCGGCTTTCACAGTCGATTCAAAAACATCGAGATTTACGTAACATCTTATTGTGCGAGCGCGCGACGTTGAAACTTCCTCGGAATATATATTTCACAGCGAAGAGATAACGGTATCAAGCGATTGAACGATCGATAATTCGATATATAATTTCTATGTGCAATTGCGTTTTCTAAATAAACAATTCTTCGCTATGAGATCCTGTGATAAAGATTTTCCTTATTTATATAACACGTTTGTAGACAGCTTGTCGTGAAGACAAAGTTTTTACACAGAATGTTTTAAATGTGTGAAGGAACTCGATGAGGCTCTAAATTTTGATTTTAGGACTATTCGAATGAGATGGCATTTATTTCGACAAAATCAACACACACCTTGGCTTTGAAACATCAAAATCATGAACCTTGATTTCGTACAATGTATGAAATGTCTTTGTGATGGTATAATTGCGAGAATAAATACAAATATTTAGTATGTGTGGAATGTGTGGAATTTAAAGAGATTAAAATTTACTGGAATAGGATGAAAATACTGGAAAAATACTGGAATTTACTGGAATAGAATGAAAATATTTACGAAACTTGTAATCGTGATTGACTCGTGGATTACTTTGTAAATAAGACGATATCTCGAAATACTTTCTATACTTATTGATGTATGTAAACATCGATCTGTAGTTCGCTGTCTCTTTTCCTTATATAAATATTTATTTCATTGTGCACTGGACACTATGTAGATGCAACAATTATATCGCTTTTGATGTTGGATTTCTGATATTGTCTTTGGAATCTTTGAGTTAAGCAAGATTGCTTTGACAGTGTTAATAAAATTATTTCTCAGAAGATTATAATTATTGCAAATGCCTCTGGAGAAAATATACTTGTCGATCAATTTAAAATTTCCCGAAAGAGTCATTAAATAACAAAAGTACTTTTTTTACATCTTTATAGCTATTTGTATAAACGTCCAGCTCTTGTATTCCTTGTTATTCCTAAGAGCTCAAAAAGCGTTGAGAGAACAGGCTTTGTAAGGATTGTCGACATGAAATTCGAAAACATATCGAATCTGACTTATGTGGGCATTAATTTCTATCGATATTTGTTATTAGAATGGATTTTATTTCTAAAGAGTAAGCTTTCTCACGTCTTGTCATTGTAGAAGTCCCCATGTAGTGAATATTTTTGGCGAAAATTCTTTTATACAGTCCTCCCTTGCATATTCCATTCTATCGTTCAGGTCCAGATTTTCTAGGAAAACAAGAAATTCATCACACAGACTGTGTGATGAATGGATTGTGTGCGCAGTGTGACACAGTGCACACAGACCACTGCGTCCACTGCTGGACATAAGTCTCCCTTAAGAAGTATTAACTTAAGGAAGTGCATATACTCCCTTAAGGGAGTATTTGACCGTCAACCTATCACGCTGGCTGGGTTGATAGATAAATGAGAAATTGGCGAATAAGAAATTGGTTTGTCTATTTTGCAACCGTAAGATAATTAATGCCAAATTTTCATGAAAATCTATTTGGCATAAAAAGATTGGATAAAGAGACTGGATAAAAAAAATTGGATAAAAAGGATAAAACAATGAGAGCTTTAAAATAAATCAAAGGATTTTATTTGAAGATAATAGTACCTCCGAAAGTATTTTCCGGTAGCATATATTTCTCAAACAATCAAGGCTCTTAATTATATAATTTAATATATGATTTGCCTCGCGTTGATATATGAATCAGATAGCAGAAGAAACCATCTTTGATATGCTATTAGATCCAGACATTTTATACATATAAAAATTATGTGCCTCGATCGTACTTGGTACATTAAGCGCGGCCTTAATTAATCAAGTTGGCGGCAGGATGCCAAGGGTTTTCCTCTTGGATTTCGGTCAACAGGGAATTCTCTCGCGATGCCGAATACTCGACCTTCGTACAGCTCCCACGATCTCGAGGGAGGAACTCATTCATTAAAAGAATTTTCCGAAACTTGCGTGAATTAAAATAGTTTTCAAGTTGGACAAGAAAGTTTTTGAAGAAAATGTAAAAGTATAAAGAATCAGAAAATGCTAGAGGACTTGCATGAGCGTATTATAATCTCAAAAAGCACGGACGAAAGAATAGGATACGTAATTTTGTTGATTGCACATATACATATATCATATATATTTGATTGCGCAAAAGAAAAAAAAAATAATGTGTCTTCTATATCCCACGGAGTAGAAAAACAATGTACATTGTGAATCATGATGTTGTGAGTCACATAATGCATTCCTTGGCAGCTCAAATTCTACAGGAGGGGACAAAGACATTTACTGAAGTACATATATTCAATTATAGTCGCAATAAAATTTTAAATACTGAACATATTTATTCCATGTTCATTATCTGTTAATATGATGATAGCGAATTTATCGCGAATAACTTTTTTCCTTTCAAAGACAACAATTTTGTTTTATTTTTTTTATTTTATTCGTTTGTCTTGTCTTTTTGTCTCGAAAACTCCGAAAAATTTTAAAAATCTAAAGCATAATACGAATACGTGGTTGAAGATACCCCGTAACGCGTTATAACCGTATATGTGAAAGAGCTAATTAGCTCTTTAAAATTAACGTAAAAATTACGAACAATGTTTTGCACGTACGTAAAAGGAGCGGATGTGAGTGGTCCATTGTCTCATTTCCACCATGTAAAACGTACGTTTTTTTTTCCTGGCGGATTGCACATAAAAAATGTACACCGGCCTCGCTCGAATGATTCGCTTGCACGAGGTGCTTGAGCTCGCGAACCACTCCAGTTGGGGCTATTTTGAGAAAGCGGCGAGAAACACGTGATTATTTTAGTTACGATTTTTCTCCTCCGACTCGCAGAACGCAGACGGACGTCTACGCGAACATCACGACGAGATGACTGAGTACGTTACTTTTCGTTTATCTAGAACGACGCCCGTTCTCGACCAACGCACAAGCTAGATGCGTGAAAAAGTCAGAATCGGATCAAACCTTGGGGATTATTCGTATTTATCGGAGTTTCGTGACGGCAGCAATGGCTGTAGTTCTGCGATTGTGAAAATGTGACGGATAAGTTATTGTGTGCCTCGCGAAAGTGTCAAGAAATCGTACGAAAATCGAGAATATGCGTTTTCCCGATTGTAATATAATTCGTAAATAATATTTATATAAAATATTTGCGAAAATCTGCGATTTAGTTAATAGTTAATGGGTTTACGTGCCGATCTCTCAGGTGTCGCGGGGAGTTTTGTAACGAGTGACTGCGAAGAGACTGTCGATTGTGATATCGATCGTGATTCTTGATCCATCCTAAATTGATTCCCTCATTGCTATTTGCGTTATTATAATTGATAAAGTATCGATGAACTTATATGCGTTCGTCATTGTTAGGTGGCTTACAAAATAACAGCGTGAAAATTGCTCGTTGCTTCTCGTATTCCGTTTATCTTGGGATTCTATTCTAATCAATTGTCTCGTCTCCATAATCTCGCCATAATGGACATGCGAAGAATGTCGAATTGGAATGTCCTGAGCGTGGAGGCTGCGCTGCAACAGCTCAACGCCTTCGAGGGAGATGATCCCGAGAAGACAATGAGGCGTCCTAATACGGTAAGCGAGTCTATTTTTGCAGTACCAAAATGATCTGTCTCGACGTTCACCTGCAGGAAAAGAAAAAAAGAACTGCTGAAATCACCTGTGCCCGTAATTTGAAATCTCTTTGGAAATAATTTACGTTGAAGGACGTTACGGTTATGATGTTTCATTCCATAAATATTCAAGACGCGCAGATTGCAAGTGCGCGTAGTGTGTGATGTGCAAATTCTTTTTTTTCTTTTATCTCGGACGCATCATTCACGAATGTCCGAATCGCTATCCGGCAAAGTGGTTCAGCTTTTAGCTAGCAAAACGCGCAGCTAAACTATAACCGAACGAGAGGAGATTTTCGCGACGTCAAATGTCAGGCGTTTGCTCACGTTTCTTTTCCACGTAACTAGTGTGCCGCTAACACATCAATGCCGTCGGGGAATGTCAATAGCTCTTTCCATTCTGGCCTGATGCCTGCCTGCCACTCTGCCTTTATTTATAACTAATTAAAGCAAACGGCTCAGTCACGGCTGCTGACTCTCCTAGGACGGTCAAACGCTGATCCGCTCGATCAGTCGGAGTCGATCTTCGGCATGGACCATTGGTGCGTTTCACCGAGGAATGCAAACGCAAATGTTCGCGAATACAATTTTTTTTTTAAATCATATTCGTGCGGTTTTCACTCATAAAGTTATTTGAGCTTTAACAATGACTATGTGGACGCAATTAGCTGTGGAGCACGTCAACGCGATAACTAAGGAAGAATTTAACATGACGCATCGAGGGAAGTCAACGGTAATCCTGATTATTCGAATCAATATAACGTGATAAAAAAAAAACAATATACTACTTTCACTAAATATTTTTTAATATACCTTAAAAAGCGGATATATACATTTTCTTCTTTGCCATCATGACAAAAATGTTGTAACTTGCGTGATTTTCTACACAAAATGCTGCACAGCAGTTTCTGGGCAAACAATTGCTTTAAAAAATTAGAAACATTTTATATCTTTATATCTTTGATAAAAAGAATTATTACAATTATTTTTTAAAATTAAAGCTCGTAAAATAATCAGTTCTTTCCATGCATTTTTTACTTTAATATGTAATGTGTGTAATGTTAGATTCGTTACGATATTCTGATACAATTTTAAAACTTTTATTTTACTTTAATAAATTGCGACGTTAAATTGTTACGACACTCTGATATAACTTTAAAATCTTTATTATATTCGTTATTACTTTCGCTATTCTTTTCTTCGCTCGACTTGTCAAGATTCTGATATGTAGGTATTTATTTCACGAGGACATGCGCCGGTTTTTATCTTATAAAATAATCGTTAATCGTTTCAGACTGACAGATAATTACAAGTATAATCTCTTGCGATCGTGTGTGTGTATGTGGAAAATAAGATATGTTTTATACGTTTCACGAATCTAATCTGTTATTAAGATAATGTGACACAGAAGAAGCAATCAGATTTTGTTCTCAATTTTTACTTCAGCATTTCCTTGTGTTATATTTCTATGTTACAACATGATAAATAGATACTGCAAAAGTAAGTCGATAAACTTGATTATTACCGAGAAAATCGATTGAGATCTTATTATTATAGTTCGATGCCCCGGTTAGAGATAGCCTAACTCTCTAAATGTAATTAGTTTCTTTAAGTCACACTAACTTCGCCGGCCAACACGTGATTTATGCACCTTAATTACGCGATAGACGCGTAACCTGTTGCTGATGGTTCATTAAATGTACTAAATTGAAATCGCGCCAATCATTACGCCAAAAGCACACGAAAGATATTAAGAAGGTTGTTTCGCGAGTAATCCAGCACTGAATTTACATAATATATCTATACATTGGCGTGAAATTTATTAGAGTGACAGGAAATCTTTTCTTGAAAAAGTATGAGATATATTTAATTGGCTCCTTTGTAAAATTTAATAACATTCATATATATATACATATATATATATATATATATATATATAAATTTCTGCTATGTAAATATTAAATAATGATACGGATTTCAGTGCCAACTACTTTCTTCTGAATGTTATTAATTTTTGTAAGCGAGCCAAGACTACAAATCATGTAAATATTATAAAATTTTCAAAAATATAGGTAGAATATGTCTATGTATAAACAGAATAATAATATATTCCAAAAAGGATAATTATGCAAATTATGAATCACTCGTATATATAAATTAAACTAAATATATTAACAAATTATTACACAGCGTGCGATTTATGTAATAATTTGTATAGATATCGTGCATACAAAATGCATCAAGACAGTTGCAAATGCGTTTTCCTTTTTGATAATTAAAATATGCATTTAAAATTTAAAGATCTGCGTGCGTGGTTGATTGCGTATGACGATCGCGAGTAAAATGCTTATTTCGAGTTTCATTTTTTATCAGGAAGTAAATTTCATAAAAAATATAAAACTCGCACCCCGGCCGATGATGTAGACACGGTGGGGTTTAAAATAAAGTACAAGCAAGCCTTCCAAGTCGTATATTTAGGGCGACGCGCAAGCGCGATCCGATTAAAACTCCGCTGAAGACTTGTAGTTTAAGCTTCTCCGAATTCTCTGTCTCGTGTGTCGCGTTTCCAACAGATCTCGTGTAACTGCAAACAATAATACCTCCCGTCTATTAAATTTTTATGTTTAAAAACACCAAAGTGCACGAATTAAAAATTTCAACGTTTATAACGTAAAAATCATGCCGAGATAAGCCGGATGGTGACATTTAAGAGCAAAAATAAAGGTGACCTCTCGAAATAAAATAGTAATAAAGACCGGAAAATAAAGATTTAAACGACTGATTTATCGGGGAGAGAAAATAGACCGTGTATACGCGAAGGAAACTACCTAAAGTTAAACGTCTTGATTTTGATCGAACGTCAAAAGAAGCAGCACCATGGATCTCGGTGGTGTGGACGTTTGGGGTCAGATTGCCCTGGAAACGTCTCAGATGTACGTTTCTGAGGGTGGTGCCGCTAAAAGCCGTACTGTAAGTTGATTTATTTAACATCGATGTAATACGATCGTTTGTTCGATCGTCTATTTTTCGCGCGACCATCTGAACCCACGTAGGTATGTCACGTTAGACACTTTAGAACTTTTATCGAAGAAGGAAAAATTCGCACACTGTACTAGACATTAAATATTACTCGGTATTACGTTCATACGAAGATTCTGCGGAAAGAAAAATCAAAATCGGCATTTAAAACTGATAAATATAGTCAGATTTAACGGACAGGGCAAGCTCGACAAATGGTGTATTTGCGTCACAAGTTTAATCCGCCTCGAAATCGCGCCAACGTACGAATATTACACGTTAATAATAATACGCGAAGAAAGCATATGTACGAAAATTGCACAAATCGATTTGATTCCGTAAAGATATCCGATCGAGTTGTCACTTCCTAATTTATTTCCCAATTTCCCGAACAGTCTTGAATAACTCCGATCAACGCGGCGTGCCGTGTTGACTCTAGTATAAATAAATAAAATGTCTTTTCTACGCAGACGATCGAAAAGCTGCCGGACAAAGTTCTTCTAAACGTGTTTTGCTACCTCTCGCACCGCGAGATATGCAGGGTGGCTCGCGTTTGCAAACGCTGGCGACAAATCGCGTACGACACGCGTCTGTGGAAGCACGTGTCCCTAAGACCAGAAGTAAGCGGGCTTCACGTGAGCTCCCTGGAAAATTTGTTACACTTAATCAGGTAACGCAACATAAATATAGCAATACGGGAAACCGTACAGGCATACGTAATCCTCGCGCTTGTCGCGCGAGTGTTTGTTATTTGTTTCACGCATACGAATTTTAGAGATAGTTAATAATAGGTCCCCCGCGCACGTGCACGATAATCACAGAAGTAATTTTAGACAAATAATTTGATCTTATCGCAATGAAGTTGAATTATCGAACGAATCTCTTAGATCAAAACCGAAGTCGGAGAAGTACTTATTTGATATTAATGTTTGACGTGACGACATGTGTAAAGAACGAAGTTCACTCTTATTTTAGATACAGAATTGTAATAATGCAAAGCAATGACGATTTAATACTTCCAGCGTACGTTTTGGACCTTCGTTGAGATACATCGAATTACCGATCGAACTGATCACTCATACGGTTCTTCACGAATTAGCCAATAAGTGTCCAAATTTAACGCACATGTTATTGGACTTTTCGACCGCGATGCAACTGCACGACTTCTCCGAGATGCAAGCGTTTCCTACGAAGTTGAAATACATGTGCATTTGCTTGTCGGAAGTAATATTTATGGAAGGATTCATGCGTAAGATTTACAACTTCATTAATGGACTGGAGATACTTCATTTAATCGGTAATTGATTAAACACCTATATTTTTTTGTATTATCTTATATGTGATATCACTCGCGTATCATGTAGGGCACGTAAGCTATAAATCAATTGAATATCGATAACCAAAATGTATTTTTGAAAAATGAAACGGATGCATTATTATTTATAGATTAAAACATATTATTATAGTATGATATTTACTATAATATTATTTCTATATAATTCATTACTTCATCTATTATTCTCCAGGGACATATGAAAAGGTCGAAGAGGAAGAAGAGGAAATTTACGAAGTGATCAACGTGCACAAGTTGAAATCGGCGACGCCGAATTTAAGGGTGATCAATTTGTACGGGATCAACTTCGTAGATGATTCGCATATCGACGCTTTTTCCTCTAATTGCATCCAATTAGAATGCTTAGCCGTGAATTTCTGTGCCAAAGTGACCGGTTCGACTATGAAGACCCTCTTCCAAAGGAGCAGAAGATTGACGTGCCTTCTTATGCAAGGAACAAGTGAGATACAATTATTACTGTCTTGATTTATATTCTCTATGAAAAATGTATTTAACTAAAATTTTTGAAATCGGTTATTTCGCAAGTTTTTGTTTAAATTAACTGTACTATCTATACGTCGGAATTTAACGCAAAAAATCTTCCACGCAACTTAAATAAACATGAATGTATCTTTTCACGTCAGATTTTCAAGAATTCGTGCTTGCAATATTTTAGATCTGCAGAGTGAGTACGTAATGCAAGTTGAGTGGGAGAAATCGAGTATCCAGGAGCTCGACATTACCGCTACCGATCTGTCGACGGAATGCCTGATCGACATGCTGACCAGAATCCCTGGATTACGCTTCCTGAGCGCCGGACAACTGAACAGCTTCAATGATAATGTCCTGAAGGCCTGGGCCGAGCTTGGGAATACGCGGAACCTGATAGCCCTGGATCTGGATAGCTCCGACAATCTGAGCGACGACGCCCTGCACAAGTTCCTGTCGAGGCACGGCCATCAGCTGTACGGCCTCGCGCTGTCAGGCATGCCGCATATCACTGACCAACTTTGGCAAAGCGTGCTGCCAATTCTCACCAACGCAAGGTAAACATTCGTGACACGACTGATCATACCCATATAAGTACCGTGTTAATGGTTATCTGTTTAACGTGATTTAATGTCGTTGCACGCAAATTGTATACTAAATAAAAATAGCGATTATTGTATGTATCTTCCACTTAACAGAATTTTAAGCGTTTATTTGTCAACAGTTTTAGAAAAATTCTTTTCCTCTCTCTCTCTCTCTCTCTCTCTCTCTCTCTCTCTCTACTATTATAAGTTCAATTTTGATAATGTTTTTTTCTTGGAATTAGAAATTCGAATAATATTTCAGAATACTTGTGATGGGCACTCAAGAGAGGCTGGGCGTCAACATTCACGTGGATCAATTGATGGATGGAATCGCCAACAATTGTCCCAATTTGGAGCGTCTGGAGTTGCGGTGGGACCCGGAAAACTTGCGATTCTCGGACAAGAGTCAGAAAGCCATCGATGTTCTACGTGTGAAGTGTATCAAGATGAAATGTTTGAGTCTAAGGTAAGGAAATAAATAGCAATGTACATAAAACAAGCGACATTTATAAATTATTATTTTTGTTTCAGTGACGGAAGGTACTATGAAATCGTCAAAGCGAATTTCGAGCGAGCTGACAGGCTTACGGTCGTAAGAACGATCACTTGTTGTAGAGTTTCGAATTACTACCTCTTGCAAAATTATAAAGATCTGATTTTTAATTGAAACACGTCGACGATAGGTTTTCAGATTGTTTCGCGAATGTTATCGCGATTCTATTGACATAAAAAAGTGCCTAAAAATAAAGTGACAAAGTAATATCATATTTATATAAAATACGATATTTTCTTTACGACAGTATTAATGTAGAGTAGCGTAATAAGAAGACAAGATTGTATCATAAAACAAATTGTAATTTAATATCGCAAGCATTAAACATTAAATTTTCCGCACTGAACAACATTCGCTTCTAAACTTCCAAAAACTGTTCATGAACACCGCAGATGCGTCTCGTTGTCCGGAAACGTTACGCACAACGTTGTGTTGTCATCGTCGTCGTCGTCGTCGTCGTCATCAGGGTGCTCCTCGCGTCCAGAACCGCTACTAACAGCGAAGTACGCACGTTGGCGATGGCACGGTTCCGTTTTATCGATTATTTGCTAATTTATTCATGTTTGCGAGTAGACGACGACGACGACGACGCCGTATACTGGCCATCGGAGTCGGTCGATTCGGCGGACCTCGCTCGTCGGCCACAACACGCGAGCTGCCACATTCCATGCCGCGCCATTATAGTCAGTCGAGGACCGTCCCGACGGACGAGTCGTGCCGCTCGCATGATCATCATCGAGGACCGTCGCCGATTCGTCCCGCACCGTTGGCGTCGCCGCGTCCCCGATGTCGGACGTCGAGGAGGAGTCGAGAAGCGAGAAGCGGCTGAAAATCGTGCTCGTCGGTGACTCCGGCGCCGGCAAAGTGAGTTTTTCGGCGTCGCGTTCTTCATCCTCGCGTCGTAGACGCCGCGACGGCCGACAGAGGTGGTTGATCCCTAGTTTCGAGACCCAAAGATATTTAATAGCGTGCATCTGTCCGTTTAAATTTGTTTGCCGATCACCATGGTGAAAAAACGATATAGCAAGAGCCTTTCAACAGGTGATAGGGAGAGCTTTTATCGAAGAGCACTTGTGTGATAAACGTCTTCCTTTTGTAACGACTGTGCGGGCAATGAAGTTGACGAGTGTTTTTGCGGATGTTCATATAATTCTTTACGTGGAGTTAATGTCAATATTATTAATAATGGGGTTTTTTTTATTGCCATATGTTTCTGTAATAAATGTACGGCTGCAATATGGATTAACGATGAATGTAATACGCGAGCTAAAATTGATGAAACTTCTGGCCGCGACTTCGTGCCTCTGGATCCAATATGCGGAAACTTTCGCAACATGCGACGCTCGCGGTTTATCGTGATTCCTCGACTTGCCAATGATAGAACAATAAAGCAAATTGGTAGAGATAAATTTTCTAATCGATGCATTTTTGCATTAACGAGGCAAAATCATGTAGGTCAAATATGAATTTATTAACCTTCGGAAGCTATTCTCTTTCTCTCTCGTCGTTTCATATCATGCAGAATGTATCGCGGAATGACAAACAGAGAAAAATCGGGCATTCGCGCGATATTTTTTGCGTAATTCGAAATAAACTCTCATACATTTTTGGGCACAACTTTTACTTATTCAGCTAAAATTTAATGTAATTACAATTTATCACATTTTATAACCCAGGAAAAAATGTTTCATATGTAATTTAAAATATGTCCATATGTTTTCTTTCTCTTGTATAATCTCTGTTCGTATACGATATGAGAAAAATAACTTTTACATTATTTTTTTTTAAATAATGCAAAAATTACCGTTTTAATTACTTTTTAATTTTTTTCAATTCATCGAAGATAATACGTACACAGTAGGAATAAACATTAGGAATAAATTAGGATCGGAATTAGGAAGAAATTAAGCAGATCGATGCTTGTTTGTGACACGCGATAAGCAAACAATATTGCTTTAACTACAATTTGTCAATCAGCAGTTACTACACGGCTGTCATTACCGCGCGGTTTTATTGATTGCGTTTTACGCGTGTGATAACTGTTATTTCCCTGCTGCGACGCCTGTCATTCTTGATAATTGAAATTCAAGGATCCTTCTTTAGACCAGCATCGTCCAGAAGTTTTGCAACAACGATTTCACCAGGCAATACGCACCTACCGCCGGCATCGACTTCTTCCTCAAGAATATCAGCGTCGGCTGCTACAAAAATGTTAATCTGCATTTATGGGACGTCGGCGGGCTCGCTCTGCACGGCAACATGTTGGACAAATATGTATTCGGAGCGCACGTAAGGCCAATTTTTGCCGCTGCTTTTATCTTGCCAAAAGAAAAATTTTATTAAATTAAATTAAATTGATTTTATTAAATTAAAATCGATATGCCTTTTTGTTTATGCGCGCTAATTGTATATGTTGTTGCAAGCCAAATGTATTATATTTATGAATCAGATCATTCTTTTGGTGTACGACGTCACGAATAGCTCAAGTTTCGATATTTTGGAAGAGTGGCTCAGTAAAATCAGGAATTTCATCGGCGCCTACGACGAAATGCCTCTAATGGCGTTAGTAGGTAACAAATGTGACATGGACCATCAAAGGACAGTTAAGAGAGACAGGTCGCATCGATTCGCCGCCGAAAACGGATTGGCTTATCACGACATGTCTGCGAGAACTGGAGAATCGGTAATTTTTTTTTCTTTAAAAACATTTTTTAAAAAATGTACATATATAGATAGATAGATTTCTATTTATACAATATATGAATACGAGTTATAAAGATTCTTACTGTACTTTCAGGTATCTTTGTGCATAGCAGGTTTGGCGGCGCAAGTCTTAGGTGTCCGATTAACAAGAACGGATCAAGACTTTCACAAGCCCATCATTATCGCTGAAATTGGGGACACGGTAGATATGAATGCAATACACAAAGTCGTAAAAAGGATTCCTAATAAGAAGCAACATTCGATTGCGTTCCATCCTCATTTCCCCGCCTCGAAATCCGCGGTATGCGCACTGCAATGATGATCATCGGACAACTCTTTAGAATATATTTTTTATGTAAATTTATACATATTAATTCTATTAGATTTGACAAAAATTGTACAATTATAGCCGTAATAAAAATAATAAACACCGTATTTCATACATGATGTTAGAAAACATCTCTTGCATAATCAATTGTATATGTTATATAAGTTTCATTCATTTGAGCATGTATTTATAACGGCAAACACATAATGTCAATATCGAGAATGTATTTTTTACAATTGGATCTTGCGCGTAAATGTATCAAATTTGTGTATCACGCATCATATTTAAATTATATACCGTACAGATGAAAATAAAACTTATGTAGTGCGGGGCCAATGGACAAATATGATCACAGGTCTACTGTAGATTGAAAAACAGATTTATTAATCGCATCTCGTTAGTTGTGATAATAGTTACACGCGCAATATATTATTTATATAACAACATTAAAAATACTTTTATAATAGTAAGAATCATTATGAAATAATAACAAAGCGCATGGTATAATGCAAAGATGTGTAACATTATATATATTGGTAGTTCACAGAAGAATTCAAAATTACTAGGAAGATTTATGAAATATCATATTACAAGCAGTTTCGTTCATCGAAAAGTCTGACAGAGCTTGATTAAAGACCCGATATAAAAAATATTCCAATAATAAAAATGTCAAATAAAGAGAAGTTCTGTATTCTCAATTTTTAAAAATATCGAAAGAATGGTCTTTAAGATAGGTATTCCACATATTATCCTTTTATATTTTACAAACATTGTTATTAATAGCACTTGTAGTTCTTTACAGTATTATACGCAAAGATATTTTTTAATCAAAAACACTTTTTCCTCATTTATCGTCTCTTTCAAAAAAAGTCAATTCAAGCACATATACAGTAATCTTTTTATCTTTGAAAATTTCATCTAATTGCTGGGTGTAATGTCGCAATCATCTGCTTATGGCACGATTCTCTGCTTATGCTAAAACTGCAGATGCTGCGTTAATACGTGTAAATTAATATACATTTAAATTAATATACATTAATTTAAATTGTCAATGTCTTTTCGATAAACAATCCAGTAAAATGTGACTCTGTGTTGTTCGTAGACAATTCGTTTATAATTAGAAGACATAACATGAAGAAGAGCATTTTGTGCGTACATGATTGGAAAGACTAACTTTATATAATCCGCGTTATATAAAGATGTGTTCGCGCGCGCGCGCGTTACGTATATGTATAATATATAATATATAATAATTTTCAAAATCTAAAAAACAATAATTTGAGATCTAGCATGCTTAATAAAATTACAATAAATTATTTATTTTAACGCTAAAAAATCATATTTTTTTGTTTAATATATATTTTATCAATAGATTACTATAACTATCTTTATACTTTATACACCGTCTATCTCTGTAAATCATTCAGAACATTAATAGTGCATTTATGATTTCTTTTTTGCATTTGGAAGAAAAAAAATAATTACATATAAATAGTTCTTCTAAACTTGGGTGACCTAAATAAGAAATATCTATTATTATAGTTCTATTATAAATAATGCAATTATTTCCACCGAGATAAACGAGATTTACTAATTTATACGGACGGTGTGCAAGTTATGATTTGATTTACTCCCTTATCAAATTACATATTATCACATATTCTGTACAACGATTGCTCAATATGTAAAATTACGAGTTCAAAATTTTTACATTTTTCACTGATTATTCACGCCGTTCTTAAAAAATAATTACTAAAAAATTTTTGACAATTATACTCGCGAAAAAGATTCGCGTTCTTTTTCTCGCGTATTATTTTAATAAAATTTTCAGTCTCTTATTATACCACAAAGAACATGAATCATCTTCGCCTACTTATTTCGAGAAACTGTCGTTTTTATACTATAAATCAGATTTTGTGAGAGGTCTCCTTGGCCACGCATTTATCTCCAAAAGTTTCTCCTTAATTTTCCACAACTGATTGAGCTTTTCGTTTAGAGGCGCGACATACGTGTCAAGCCACTCTTGTACCGTATAATTGTCATAAATATCTTCCATCGCTGCACGCATATCTTTCTCGATATACATTATTTCCATTCTATGCCTGTCCAAATCGGTAACCGCACGCTCGATGTAACTAGGACTCGCGAAAGAGTATTTGATGTTGTACGGTTTTAACCATCCTTTGTAGGTATTATCCTGCTCCATCTTCGTTATCTCTTGCGTCAAAGAGTAAAGACGTAAGACAGCTGCGTATACCGACACTCCGTGGAAGCCGCACTTGGTCCAGCCGTACTGTGGCTCCGGTATGCTTAACGAGACGATACCGTCGCATTGCAGAGCTTCGGATAGACGATCGGGTAATTCTACGGGGAAGCCGTTTGTATCCGAGGCTTGTAATATAGCTAAATTAAGGGCGAGGGACGGCAGTCCTATCGGTAGTAATTCGCAAAGGACACTGAAGTGATCGTATCTCTGCCATCCGGTCAACATGACACCCTTGAACGTGATTTGACTGGAGTATTTCTGAATGATTTCTAGCCAACGCTGATGATTCTCCATGTGATACGAAATGTCCGTGTAATACCTGTCCGGCGAGGTGGCTCCTTTGAACGCTGTCGCGACCCAGACCTCCTTCCACACCGCGGCGTAACTTTCCCACAGCTGATCCGTTAACGTCGTGCCGGGATCAGTGGTGTACTTCCAAATGACTGGCTCCACCATCGAGTGAAGGCCTCGGTCGATAATCTCCTGCGGCGATATATCGCGGAATTCGTCGTCCCACATAAGTACGGTCAGCTCCGGATATTTCTGTTTAATATATTTGACCACCGCGGAAACGTGATCCAGAAATAACTGGCGTTTGCTCCACTGCCTCTTGGCCATAACGTCCAAGCATCTCGAGCATTCTCCTATCTGATAAACCTCGTCCGCACCTATGTGCAAATATTTCGACGTCGGATGCGCAGATACGACCTGGTTTATCATTTCGTAGATTAACGGTAGTGTCTTATTATACGTAGGGCACAAGACTTGCGGGTAACGCGGAACTTCCCTGAAGTCCTTATACTTGTCCAACTTGAGAACAAATTCCATATGACCGAAGGTCTGTATCAACGGTATGACGATCAACTGATTGTTCCTGGCGATACTCTGAATCTGGGCGATGTCCTTCCTGGAGTAAGAGTTGCCGGCGCGTATGTCGTCGATGCTGTCAGCAAAGGGAAACATGTCCTCGTACTCCACGAGGACGCCGGTGGCCCCCAGCTTTCGCAGCAAGGGAAACAGATAGCTATAATAGCTCATCTTCGGCGGGGCGCCTTTCAGATCTAGGTGGACGATCTTATGGCCCTTGAACAGCGGTGCAGTGCCGTCTGCAAACGATTTATCATGAGTTAACTCGTTAACCAGTCTGTTCCTACCGTTCCTCAAATCACCCGTCATCCGCCCGTCTACTTGCTGCCCTAATCTGACAGCGCCCCGAGGGCCGTTCGTGACTTCACCTGGTTGTTGGTACACATCCTCGGCTCTCAGACGCGCGCTCCCGATCTTGCCCGTTGACATCTCGTCGATCTCGTTGCTCAGTATGTGGTATATGACGACCAGCAGAACGAAGCTGATCGTCGCGACGACCATCAGCGACGCACGGCCCCGTAGACGCGTCATGACGGGAAGAAGAGTTCGCAGCGTAGGATCAGCTCTTCGGGGATCTCGAGACGCCGTCGAAACACTCGAAACCTATCGCACGGTCACGTCCATCGTTCGCGCGATCTCCGCGACAGAGAGAAAGAGGGAAAGAGAGAAGGAGAGAGAAAAGGGGAGAGAGAGAGAGAGAGAGAGACGGCGTTTATAGTTGTGAAGCAATGCGGGAGACACGCTCGGCGTTGCTCGACGAGTCGCGAGCCGCACGCATTCCCGCCGCCCTCGGGAGACGGACGTTCGTCGACGGACGATCTCTCGAGCGCGAGAGTAATCGTGACGAGTCGCGCTGGGCCGCCGAGCTATCCAACGCGCGCCGTCAACGCGTCCTCGGCGCCTTCGTGGACGAGAGCGATCGCTCGAGAGAACGTGGCGTAGCGTCGGACCTGTACTTCGGAGTTAATTCGGACACTTCGGAGCATTCGGAGTATTCGGACTGGCCGGACGCGTAACACAGGCGCGGTGCGAGCCACGCGCGCGGTCTGTCGGCGTCGCCGAGAGACACCCGGAGCCGGAGATCGGAGAGGAGACACGGGGACGCCTCGATTCTCTCTCTCTGCGGCACGCGGGCTCTGCCGCGCTGCGCTCCGCTGATCCGTGGGGATTGGGGATATGTGCGTGGCGTATAGCGGGACGATATAATTATTGATTCCTGTATCTCACGCTACGCCGAGCGACAAGGCAGGCCCGTTTTGAATTTTCAGCGCGGCGAGCGGAGCGAGGAATAAATTGCGGCGAACCTTTGTCCATATGGGAGATGATCCTCTGAATGAATAAGCGAAAAAATTTGATGAACTATAAATCGGGATTAAGGAGGAGCTCATTGCGATAGATTCTAAATAATATGCGCTTTGGATATCGTCTTTTTCTTTTTATTGCCCATTACTTACCGGTTTTATTTCTTTATATAAGCACCACACCTCGTTCTGACGGACTGATAAGTTTTATTAGGCGCTAGAACAACCGATAAGTTATCGTTGAACCATTCGAAGTAACTATCGTATTTAGATAAGATACAGAAATATAAAATGTATATATATACATCGGTAGTACATAATATTCCGTTGCCACGCGAATAAAACAACTTTTTGAATAGCTAATTGCCCGGAAAAAAATTAAAAAAAAATTGTTTTTTGTAAAATTTGACTTTTTGTAAAAAAATTTTTGTACAGGAAATTATATCCCACACAGCACAGGATATCCTGAGGGACATTTGTGCATCCGCTGGATATCCACCGGATATTGAATATCCACTGGATATCCACCGGTTATTGAGATATCCCAATTTGTCTGTAGGACGTCCCTCAGATAAAGTGTGCTGTGTGGGATAGCTATTCAAAAAGTTATTAATTTTCTATTCACGTGGTGACAGTACTACCGACAGATGTTATATTTGTGGATCTTATCTAAATACGATAGTATTAAGTGATTACACAATACTCTATGTATAATCACGTGTATAATCATTTTATATACAATCATTTTATATACAATCATTTATACATATATGATTATTGATTACATATGGGCATTTTTTCTCATTTTTTTCACACTTCACTTACAAAAGAGAGAAAGAAGAATCAAGCTAAAGATATAATTGAGAAGAGAGTTTGATTTACTCATTTCAGTCGCGCGTTTAGTTAAACAGCTTCGAGACGATCTACTTATTCGGCAGAACTGTCGGCGATCGATTCAATCGGCAACGGAGATAGTGCCGGAAGCTATCATCGGTTGCGATCGCAAGCGGTTATAGGGCGAGCGAATGTCGTCACGCTCGCACGTTACGTCGCGTTGCATTTCCGTCACGCGGATATCAATTAAATATTAATTTGCCGGATGCGCGCAAGCATTCCTGGCATGGTTCTCCTGTCCATTTGTTTTTTTCATTGAAAAAATATAAGAATGCGCGAGAACTCATCGCCCACCTCGTCTCTCCCAGGTGCATTTATGTAAATAGCGCTTTTACAATTTTGTTCTTGCTAACAATAAGATGGAATAAAGTGTAAAAGAGGGTAATTTGGACAAAATTAATTAACACGCAGAAACATTGTAATTGTGAAACGACGCGACATCTGTCGAGACGTAGGCGAATTCCTCGACGGATCTGAGGGAATGACAATGAGTCATCATATTATAAATCGATGCACAGTCACAAATTTATTATTTTCATAAATCTTTTGCGAGCGATATTTATGGATCTACTAAAGGCGATAGACAATAAAGAAAAGATAGCAATAATGCTTAACGAGAAAATGTCATTAACGTCATAAAATGACTCGAGACGATCTATCTACATTGAATTTTAGAATAAAAATTCTATTTATAATTTTACGTGTCGTTTGATATATTATATTTTGTAATTTATTATACATATTTCATGTATTCTGATTTAAATGTTTTTCGAATCAAGCCCGCTTGAAAATCGGTCTGCGAACTCGTGTGTCGAAATTCAGACAATTCTATTTAAAATAACAAAAGCGAGAGTAATGATTGAACAATCACTACAAATTGCGAGTGTATGTACATGTTTCCTCGTTTTCGCGATCTCTCAACCGGCATGAAACGGCTGCATTATATCCGGCGTTAAAATATGCACATCAGGAAGTGCGTCGCATCGCGGTCGAAGCGTTTCTCAAAAATCAGATCGGTTGAGCGTATAGCGTTATTACAACCGCAACGTCCGTATATATATTAACATAAACAATGTAAGGCCGAGTCGTTTAAAAGTCAATAATTACAAAGTTATAACAAGATTTATATAATATATAAAGCTAAATTCTCTCTCTCCTACCCTCAATTATTAATCATGATTTTAGATCGTTTCTATCTTCATTATACAAATCTTCTTATATTTTTTTTTCAAATCCTCCTAAGATAGGTATTAAAAACGATTTCTTAGAAGAGGAGGGTCTAGTTTGGATCAAGAGAAGAACATCCTGATCCAAAGTCGCCCATTAAGAAAGGATTTCCGTGCCGTCTGAGTCACACAGCTCGCTGAGTCGAAACGCCCGATTACTCCGTATCTCCTTCGACATAATCTCGAGCACCCAGCCCGGGATCGCCGGTTTTCATGGAATGCCGGGACACCCGTTACGCGAGTGACGAGCGTGAGTCACATCTCTGCGGCCACGAAGGGAAGCAGGAGCATGATTCCAGACAATAAAATCGTTTAACGACTGCACCGCGCGATTCGAGGTACCGCAGACACGGTCGAAAGAGCGATTCGAGGTCGCAAGAGGCGCATACGATTATCGGCGCGTTTCCCTTCGCGGTCTCTTTGTCGAAAATCGTGTGAGAGATCCTGTGTAAAAGTCCGTGGACGCCAACACAAGCAAACGCGCTTCACCTTTGATATTTTATGTTTGCTACGAGCGCCATTGTAATTTGTGAATAAACAAATTGATAAATGATGATACATAATTCGTATTAAAGCCTAGTAGTGTCAGGCGATTTCTAGAACTCGAATAGAAAAAAAATTTGTTAATTTCAAAAAATATTTAGTCCGATACGTTCAATTAAACACTAAACATTTTAGTTAGTTAACTAAACATTAGTTGAATTAATTAATTTTTGATTAAAGAAACTAAATAAATTGTTGAAACAACTAATGTTTAGTTAATTAACTAAAATATTTAGTTGAACGGATTAAATATCGGACTAAATATGTTTTGGGATTAACAATTTTTTTTGTGTAGATTTGCCGTACTAATATATGTACAATATAATACATTATACATGTAATACATATAATGTACTAATTTAATATCGTTAATAATACACATTGTTAATATTGTTAATACATAATTAATTGCAGATAATTGACTGCGAGGGTTGAAAGGGAGAAAGAATGTTTGTATCTTTCGATATCGGATTATAATAATAAGAAAGTAGCGAGTCGAAAGTGTTTTATCTTGGGTTTCCAAGTACGTTTCCTAATGCAAGAACCACGTGAAAGTTTGCTCGCCTAGTTTTTCCTATAGGCTTTATACAATCGCAGTAAATCACTTCTGCGTAGTTACTTAGTATTCCGTAATGTAGATGTGCTCCTCTCTCTTCACACTTATCCCCTTCTGCGAAGCATGAAGATTTATTGCTTCGTAACGAACAAGTTGGTCGAACATCGATCATCATCGACGTATGTATATATAATCGCAATTCTATTAATTTATCTTAATAACATTTGACTTCCCGTTTCACATACAAGATGATTCAACGGTTGTACCATCTCTAGTCGTTTTTGAAAATTTTATGGGCTGCGCCCGATTTTTATGATTTTCAACATCTTTGACTGAACTTTTCAAGTGGAGCTTTCACTATGACATAAATTGTAAATTAAAGATTAAAAATTGAAGCAAATATCAAGAACTTTTGACACCCTTTGTGCGCTCGATCTTAATATATTTCTGTAAAATTGCTGAAGAATACGTGTTACGAATAATTTCTTCCACAATTCCACAACGCAACAGATTATTCCATCAAGTTCACGTGCCACAGATATACATGTAGCGTGTAACATATGTAATCATTAAACTGCATCTTCTTTGTGATGTAGTCTTGCAACAACAATGCGCTTCCGCAGCAACTTATGCAGACTGAAGAATTGTCGAGCGATTATTCAGAAGTAGTGACTCAAGCGTGCACTTATGCGAAGTATATTAGGTATATAAAGTTTCGCGCGCGGTTCTATATGTACCTATATGCAGATATACGAGACGAGACTGTCAGCTATCAGCGTAATCGCATAGTCGCTGTGTCTTCGCCGTTATCTTGCATAAAATTCTTCAGGCATATCTGCGATATGCATCATAATACGCACCTGTATTTTTATCGCAATTAAGTCGTACGAATGTCGCAGAGACATAAAAAAATCTAGAGTTTTAGAAACTTTTTACGATAGAAGCAAATCATACTTGGAGAACGTTTCCAAGATAGATTCGCGGTAATTGTTCACGTTTTGTATGTAATAAGTATTATATAGCAATTTATTTGACTTACAAGTTGAATTTGTCGTCTTGAATTACGATTACAATTCAGTTCAACAATTTGCTATATACGAGAGATGATATGATTGAGATTCTCAGTGGAACGGTTAAATAGAATGACAACGATTTACTTTGATAAAGTTAATAAAAGATTGTAATTTTTTACTTGATACATTAAGTTAATGTTTTAATATTAACAGATTATTTTAAAGTGATTTTATAAAAATTAATTTGATCGTAGTTATACGAGTTAGTAAGATACATTTTAATTTTCTCACTTCAATCAATGTAAATTCTTTCTTGCATCGATATTATGCGAATATCTTATTAATTTTTGGAATTAATTCTATTCTAGTTTCGGCAAACGCTCGGGTATCTTATAAACCTCGATTTATTAATCTACAAAATCCTGCGGTTCTGATGATAAATATTTAAGTTTTTACTCATTATTCGTAACTCTATACAGATCGCCTTTTGTGTACTCAGCTGCTGACTAACTGCGTAAATTCCTCTCAGACGCAGCATCAAACATGCGTTGAAAGCAGCTCGAAATAATTCCATTTTTCGAGTTTTCGCTTACATGAAAATAAGAAGGAACGGATTAAATTTTTTTTTATCAATAATTGGCATCAATCATAAAGTTGTCGATAAAAATTTTTATTACTAAAGAATACTCTGTTATTCACACACAACTCAGACATGTTTCTCCAAAAATTAAAATACATATCCTACGTTCTATTAATCTTTTTTTATCCTTGGAAGGTACAGGAAGTTGTCTAATAAATTCTTAAAAAGCAAGGTATAAAAAATTATTAACAAAAAATACGGGATATATCTGTGGCATTATGTTTCGCACATATTACATTGTATTACATGCTTCTTTCGAGCAATATTTCATCGACGTTCATCGTCCTTTCTCCCCTTCCCTCCTCCCCTCTCGGACCCCGATCCAAGGCGACGGTAACTTCTTCAAACGAGGTTCGACATCCTTAGTGCTGATCACGCTATCCGAATCTCGATAAAACGCACCTCGAGCATCGAGCGGCGCGGCGTCACGCGTCGAAGGCTACCGCGTGGCAGGCTCCGCGGAAAGTGCGTGCGTGTGCGTTGCGCACACGCCCGGACGGTTTTCCTTAAAGAAACACGACGCTCTCCCGAGTCCCGCATTCTCTCTCTTTCGCGTATAAGTCACCGCGGGTGCCACGAGATAATGTAACGTTACAACGAGGCACGCGCGCCCGCCGCGCGAAGTCAGTACGCTCGTGGACGCGCGCCGGGGAGAACGCACGCCGCACGAGAGTTTCTCGGTCGCGACCCGAGTCCGACGACGCGGGACTCTCGACGTACCGTACCCGTGGAAAGGAAAGAGAGAAAAGAACAAGAACCCGATACTTTCGACCTCACGTGCTGGTGCAACGAACGTGAGTGCAACCGTCTGTCTCTCGTTCTTGTATAGGGGAAAAAAAAATTTATCTTGGCTCCGCGCGTCGGTCGTGTTTTGCGAGTCAACTCGGAGGAGTAATCCGCGCGATTTCGGAAAGTGATTACGCGATTGCTCGTCCGCGACAGTTACGCGAATGCCGCAATCTGTTTGCACACCGTTAAATTCGTAGTGTCAAATTATACTCAATTTGAGTCATTTTTAACCATTCCTATAGGTCGCCACTGCTCCTGTTCAATATGTCGTTAATTTAACTTAAAACAATGTTAATTTACTACGCCAATAGAGTTAAAATAATACTGTTTGTGTTAAAGTAATAAATTTTTGACAAGCATGGTAGTTAAAAATAACAAAATGTTGTTGTTTAACTCAAGATATTGGTTTAAATTTCATTTTTTAATATTTAACAGTGCATCCGCGATTCTTCGGATGAGATCTAAGCATCGCGCGTGTAACGAGACGGGCCGTCGTCCTTTGATGCAAAAAGAGGTAAAGTGAAAGGATCAGAAGGTGCTTACCGTACGATCTGACATGCGATTCCAAAGTCCGTTAGCGCGTACACGACGTCGTGATTGACAATTAAAAGTTACCGCGGTTTTTGTTTTAAATTACTCCGCGAGCGAGTTGAGGGTCGTTGCAATTGGCCCCCGCGATTGGTAATACGAAAAAAACGCACACTCCGCGTTTAATCGAATTTAGATCGTTTATCACATGCGGGTTTGCGAAATCTCGCGTTACCGCAAAAATACCTCTCGACACGTTTTATTATAGCAAAAAGACAGGTGCTTTTGATTTGACGCGACTTAATCGGCAGAAGTACCGTTACGAGACAAGAAATACTCTTACGTCAAAATTATCGATCATTTAATTGATAATGTCCGAATAAATTAACAACGAATCGTCACAGTCACTTTCCCTTTAAACGCGACGCACGTTTCAAGGATTCTCGTTCTGTCACTCGTGAGTAATTCGCATGTAGAGGTATGCCTTTACCCTGGAAGTATTATCTTCTACATTTTCGCGGTACACAATTCTGAACGCGTAAAATTAGTCCGTGCCCTATCAGTCGGATTTTATCGGACACTTGGCTCGCCACTTGCTAATGCATGACGTCGAATGTGCACCCTGTTATTTATGTCGTGCATGTGTAACGAAATATATATACGCAATATTTAACGTGGTGCAACGATCGATGACACTAGTTGTACTGTAGCGAAGGCGGAGGCAAAAAAGAGCGATCGTAATAGTCAGCCGCTCGATAAGCATGCATGGAGTATACACAATCGTTCTGTTTTAAATTCCTTCCTGCTTGAAATAAAATATATCTATATTTATATAATAATCGATTGTTTGCCTGTAGAGGCAAACGATGTCCTTTGAATATAAAATCTAACTAAAAACGCTTCTTTAAGTAATTGAATTCTAATAATAAATATCGAATTCTAATCAAACGATAATGAATCAATAGACTAATTCTACGGTGGCGTTAATTCGCTGCAGCTTTAATGAATATCTCTTACTCGAGTATTTTATTAAGTGCTAAATATTTCCTTTCCATGTTTTCGCTTGCGTGAGGGGTGCTTTTATATTTTGAACGCGCTTCGAGAATACGCCTCAGTTTATCGATTTCGGCACGAACGCCTTTCCTGCTTCGGGAGCACGCGCTCGAATGCAAATGAAAGGGCTAATTGACATCTCGAATGTCAGTGAGGAGTATTGTGTATTCCGTATATCGAAGTATCCCGTTTCGGTTTTCGACTGAATTTTTACGGAGCCTCCTCGACTTTCGCGCTCGGACGAAGCCGGGCTCGGACACGTTGACGTTGCCGGAAGCCGGAATGGCAATTACGCTTGACGTTATCGAAGCGATCGCAACACCTGGCGGACTTTTAGGTGAGGGAAAGTACGTACCGAACCCTCCGGTCGACGTCGTCGGTTTAACGATCGGGCCGCACGAGCTCCGACACAGACGCGCATTCCGACGAATTAACTTTAAATGGCCCGCGGGAGAGCTATTTGCCTTTGCTCCCGCGAAGCTCAGCACGCGCGCGTCTAAACCTAACTCTCGAGTAAACTTTTGGGAGGAATCCTATTTTAGAAACGCACAAACCGCCGTTCCGGGAACTCGAGTTTCGCGACGTGAATGAACGCGCACATATATATAATAGATCTTATCACGAGTACTCTAATATCTCCCCGCTAACATCCATAATGTGGTAAAACAACGAACATAGATATCTAATATCAATCTAACAGCAATAATTAATAATTGCAATAATTATTTAAAATCATTTGAGTTTTTAAATTCAGCACAATATATTAATACGCTGTTAAATATTAAAGGATGAAATTTAAACCAATATCTTAAGTTAAATAAGATTTTGTTGTTTTTAATTACCATGTGTGTCAAAATTTATTATTTTAACGCAAAATAGTATTATTTTAACTCCATTGGTTTAGTTAAATGTTAAATTAACACTGTTTTAGTTAAATTAATGACATATTGAGTAGGAGCAGTGGCGACCTATACGAATGGTTAATAAACGATTCAATCTGAGTATAATTTGACACTACGAAAAACAGTGTAATATAATCTTGCTAGTTCGATAATCTTACACGGTGTAAAATTATAAATAATAGTTAATGAAACATGAATATTTTCGAAATATTTTTCTCTCCCAACGAATTATTTAACATTGAATTGATTTATCAGTCTAAACACAACAGTGTGATATAACAATAGTAAATGAAAAATAAATTTGCACAAAATTTGCGTACAGTGATCAGGATTAGGCGTACAAGAATATTTTAACACAGCAGCTATTTCGACTCTCGAGGGTGAGACCAATATGTTTATTTTTAGAAATGTCTAATGTTATTAACCTTTGTCGTAAGTAACCAGTGCCGATATGCAATTGGGTATAGGTTCGTTTCTTGGGTCGTTGCACGTAAAAGAAATCTAATCGTGACGCGTTATTTTTCTGTCTGATATTGATTATGCAATTTAATGAATCAACGATGATGTTGTTCATAAAGAATTTACGCACACATTCACAGATAAGACGCGTGTATTTTAGGAATTTAACGTCCAAAAACACTTGTCAAACTACTTATCGGAATCAAGATTACGTTTCGTATTTAATATCATAATGAAACCGAAACGAAGTAGAATAAATTCGATAAAACATGTATCGATATTCTATCTTTTCAATAATTGTTTTAATAATAGCAATAATAATAATAACGATAATAATATCTAATGATTATAATAACGAAAGGTTCTTTTACTTCGTTACTAGCTGCTTTTAAACTGTATAACTTTATCATGAAACTTTTTGCCTAAATAATACGTTGTATTTAGAAAAGGACATACTTTGACCAGGAAACGGTCAATTCCGTAACCCTTCTGCCTGCGTAACTCCGTCATTATCGCTAACAAAGCTTATAGTAAACGAGATAACAAGCGCGCTTATTTCCGCAGGCACCATGAACAAGACGGAATTCAACATTGTTCTGAGCACGGAGCCACCGAGGACGTCTCCGAACGTGATTCACTCTCACATTCCGGTGCCGAGAATATCGGCCGCGATCAAGGCTCAAGAGAGATGTCCTCCAAAACGTAGAGGATCCTTCGAGAAGCTCAGCCGGGGGACGGGGAACGTGGCAGCCCAAAGAGCGTCCTTCGAGAGGCTCGAAGCTTCGGTCGTACAGCTGAGGTCACGCAACAACAATCAACTGTCGAGCTCCAGCATCGAGATGCGAAAGTCCGAGGAGAAGACGACGCCAGTGAGCGGTCTTTGCAAGACGAACGACGTCGCCAGGCTCAACAGGAGCAACAGCTTCTTGGAGAGCAAGTGGAAGAGCAAATATGAGGATTCGGAGAAGAGGCGGAAACACCTGCTCCAGAAGAGCGAAGCTGGTAATTATTAATTATAGAAGCGTCAAAGGACGCGGCAGCGTGGATTCAACGTGGATGTATTAAATAATGGCTATACTATTGCCATGATTCAAATCTTATACTCCTTGATAAGTAGACATATCGCTTAAACTATCTTTGGAGTCCGACCACAGATGTCTATAACTAGATCGCTAATTTCGGGCTTATGGAAAAACTGTGATCGGGCCGACAGCCATATTACCTACAAGTGCGTATGTGATACCCGGCAACCGGCGGGCATGGTGGTGTTCAAGATCACGTGTTCAATGTCACGTGATTTGATAACACCTGTCCGCCAGGTATCACATACGCACTAACACACACGCACCGCCACTTTTTATCCCCTCTACTTACGTACGCAAGACGCATGCGACTACATACGAATAGGCTAAGCGCATTGTGTGCGTAAGTAGAGGGAGAAAATTGTCGTCAATCGTCAGTCGAGGCCAGGCCGGGATCAAAATTTGGCAAATCTGAATTACAACTTGTAGATAATTATGGCCGAACCTGGAAATCCGGGTCTACACGACTTTTTTGACGGAGTTAACGATCTAGTTAGAGACATCCGTGAGTCTGACCTTTACCTTTCATCCGATTGATATCTCAAACGATTCGACACATACAGCGATTTTATATCGATTTGATTACTTTAAATTATCCTTAGCCTTCTTAAAGTGAGGAAAGTGACTTACAATTAGACTGTTTATATAACGATTCATACACAATATCTGTACTTGAATATCGAAAACACACACTCGACTGTTATTTTCGAAAGTTCGACATCTGGGCACGATAAGTCGACCAAACGATTCGGAAAGTTCATAAATAATGGAAAGCGTGTTCACCACACAGTTCATGGACACTCGAGAATGTTGTGTATTCGATTATCTCGTGATTCAGTTCTGCATGTAAAATGAAGGCAATGACGCACCATTAGTCACACTGTTTATACGCGATAGAATTATAAATCGATGGGGGATGGAGGGACGAAATATTACTGGCGCGAGTTGCTCGCGGGATCTATATTCACGGTTTGTTGCGTCGATTGACGGACGATCAGCGAGGCTGACCGTTTGAGTTTACGCGAAAAGGTCAGGCACCGAAAAGTAAACTGCTGGCTGCATCGCGGAGGCAAGACATTCTGAAAATCTTCTGAAAGTCTCTCGATTCATAATTAAGCAGCAAACACGCTTAATTAATAAGCAATTCGCGCGTAATGTAATGCGTCAGAGTTTTATCAAAGATATTTAAGAATAATATTTGAAATATGGTATGAAAAAGAAAAGATAAAGCAAACGGGAGAACGATATGCCAATCAGAACTTTGCACCATGTTAAAGTAACGCAACTTTCGACGACGCGTGTATATGTACGTAGTGCAATTAAAAAATTTTTTGCTTAAATTGTTTGCTGAATAAAAGGCTACAATTATATCTCACCTTTGATGAATGTTCCATCATCGCTGGAATTATATTTTGTTTCATAATGCGAACTCTTTAGAAACGAACGATGACATCATCAATCGTTTCTCAATAATTCTACGGATTATATGACCTTAATCTGATTGTCGACTTAATCGAGGTATTTGATAACTGACTCATTTTACCCACGCACATCCGTATGCCGTTCCCTAACTATAATAACTGGAAAGAAGGCTTAAAATAATTCACGCTGGAAAATTGATGCGTTCTGCGTTGTAATCGAGCGTCTTTTACAGTGAATAAAGAGCACGGGGATTTGGAGAAGAAATACCAGCAATTGCAGAGAGAAAATGGCTTGCTGCAGTCGCAAGTTCAAGAGAAGGAGCAGAAGCTATTGAAATTACGAACCGGTACGTACCTAATTTGAAACTTCATCTTATAACGTGTAGCCGAATCTTCTCTGAATAAAGTTATCAAATCCTTATTCCTTTTTCACAGTTTCCGAAGCGGTATGTAAGGAATACGAACAATTAAAGCATCAGTATGACGTGGAAACAAACGCGATGCACAAAGCTATGCAACAAGCCTCTCAGGTAACGCTCTATCTGTTATAATTTAATCTGCGTGTTATTTATAATAATCTGTAATAAAAGTATATGTGTATGAAATATACCGATTAAGTGATATATAGTTGTTCTAAAATGGGGTACAATTTTATTATACCAGTGGTATCGACAAAACCGTGAACTGAAGCGAAGATCTCAAATCATGGCGCAGAAGTTTCTTCATAGTAATCCGGATGAGTCACTGCATTTCGAAGTGTCGGACGAAGTGGACTCGAACTTTGAAGATTTGGATCAGTTGAGACAAACGGTGACAGGTCAGTGCGGCTGATTTTGATCGGTTTGAGCGGTTGTTATTTTTTATTACCTATTTTCTCGAGATTTGCGATTAAAATGCGGTTGCTAACAATCGAAGTTAAAACTAGCAGAATAACAATGGGGCAACTGGTCCTAAATGAAACATCCGTTTTCAGAGCTGAGCGGTGAAATAGCGCGACTGCAAACGGAGCTTCATTCCGCGCGGCTTCAGGAATTCGAGGCGCAGGAGCAGGTGACGCAGCTGACCACGCAGCTGGAGGAGGAAAGGATCCTCCGACAAAAAGGTAAAACTAAATCTCCTATAATAATCTCGCGGTTGGTAAACGGCGGTAAACCGACTGATTTGTTTCTGTCGCAGGCGAGGAGAAAATTAACGAGATGAAAGTGCACAAGGATAATATGGAAAGAGTCACGAAAATGGTGGCTGAAGAGGTGCAGACTCTGAAGACGCAATGCGATCGCGAGAGAGAAAGCGCGAAAGTTCTGAAGATGGAAGCCGAAAGGGTACGTCATTACGTATTCAGTTTAATTATTAGACTTGGGAGTATTTGAAAATTAAGGTGCATTAATTGATTGCACTTTCTTATCTCGTACTAATTAGCCGGTTGCTCATTTAGGTCCAGAAAGAACGAAATGTTTTAGCGCACCAAAGCGCTCTTCTTATGGCCGAGGTTGGAGACGATCCGAATGGCAGATTGTTGACCGTTTTGCAAGAGGTGGAATCCCTAAAGAGGCTACTGGAGGAAGAACAGCAAAACCATGCTTCTCAAGTGCAGATGCTACAGGAGAAATTAGAGGAGAAAGAATCGAATGTGGAATTTGAGATCGTCGAGGAGAAGTTGAAGCTTGCGGAGTCTGAATTAGACGTAGTTGTTCAGAGAGCCGAAAGGGCTGAGAAATCGGTGGAAGAGTTGGAAAACGTTGTGCATTGCTTAAAACAGAAAATCAGCGAATTAGAGGAGAAAGTTTCAAAACCGCCACCGCCACCGTTACCGCCACCTCCTCCACCACCACCGACGTCGACGATTGGTCAGTCATCGATAAAATTGCTGACCCGAGAAAAATTGACCTCGGCTGTAAGCGATATGGAAAACATGCTTGGCATTACACCGAAAAAAACGCCTACGGTCACGCAACAACCCGGTAATTACACAATCTATTGTTTTATCGGTCATGAATTATTTTGTTTTATTGTAAATGTATCAAAGTTATACATTGAAATATTATATGTATCTAATTTTCAGCTATCGATGATATTATTAATCAAATTAAAGGCGGACGTTTCACGCTGAAGCAAACGGATGTAAGTCAGACTATACAAATATTTTTAGAATACGTCATACAAATGTTTAGAATACCATTAATTTCTCAAACATTCTTTAAATCCAGTACAAAATGCAGTTATTCTTTTGATCAATTACAATATGCATATTTGAGCAAGACGTTGATTTCAGAAACAAAGAGAAGAAGAGCGGAAAAGACGACAAGAAGCAGAGAGCAAGCCGCCAGCAGTTTCAGAAATGTTAAATATCCTTGGTACTATGAGACGAAGAGCTAAACCAATAAGGCAATCATTCAAGTTTACAGATACAGCGTCATAGTAATCAGAATTGTTTGAACGGATACAATTTGTAATTCCAACAAAACCCTGAAGTCTCAATCAGCTAAATTATATATTATCTCTATTATTTTACAGTACGATATATAACTTTGTTACTCAATGTGTACAATTTGTCTTATAGATCTGTCTTGCTCAACCTAAATTTATGCAAAATCTATTTATTCGACTGTAAAAGTAGTTTTTGTACTATTATATATGAGAAGCCAGACGAGGTCTAGTAAAAGATCGACGGCCATTTTGCAAATATTTTGTAACTTACATGATAAGAGAAATAAAAACAAAAGAATGAAGGAGAAGCATGGGCGAAATTCTTAGAAATAGTATATTCCTACATTAGTGTATAGTATAAGCATTGTGTAAAAGGTAATATTATAAAACCTTAATATAACGTACCATTACGTTGTATGCAGATATATAAAAAACTATCTTTGAGAAGCACGTTTTCTGTTCATAAATAGGAAGTTTCGCACGGGACTCAGCCGTCTCGTTCGTTTAAGGAAATATTAACATCATTATGAAATTTAAGAAAACTGATTCTGTATTTTATCAAATATGGATTGCAGCTTAGATGCTTCAAAAAGTAGAACTCGTCTGTAGGGTATCATCTCATCGTCCGTTTCAGTCCACGTCCCGGATAAACCACTGTCTGCTTCTTCTTCGACAGAAAACTCGAAACTAACAATTGCCTCTTCCGCAAAGATTTCTTCTTCCGCATTACTCCACAATATCGATACCGGCTCATTGCCAGCGTTTTTATTCTTGTTTTTCGTCTTTTTCCCGGCTTTTTTATCTTCGGTCTTATATAATTTACATATAAGTATGTAATAGGAAAAATTAAATGGCATATTTTTGCTGGTGGCACGTTTCAGTTCGGAAATTAGATTTTCAAGAAGTGGCACTGAAATCTTGGCGGGAATGTTGACAAATCTCTCATTGATAAGCAAACCCAATTGCGCCGAGTCATTTTCCAATACATTTTTAATCAAAGTATTAACTGCGTCAGTTGCATGTTCATCTGCCAACTGCTTCAATAGATCTCTAAGTTGTTGTATACATAAAACGTTCTGAAAAGATTTCTTTTGTTAAATAGAATTGATAGAGATCGATACTAAGTTTTTCGGTTTGACAATAATAATAATAATAAGAATCAACTTACTTGCTTATCGGAGACATTGATAACAGTTGTAATACCAAATACGTCGTTGATGTCATTATCCTCATCTTCGGATTCATCTGTTTCTTCTGACTGTTTAATGACAGATCCTACGTAATTTTGTGATATTATTAAATCCGTGAGTCCGCCTAAATCAAGGTGCGCTTTGAGGAAAAGTTGTTGCAGCAACGTTTTAATTCCATGGTAGTCTGGATCTTGTGGATTGCGACCTTCAAACTCCACTTGCAACTCTATTCCCTAAAATTTATACTTATTACTGTATCATGTGTCTTATTTTATAAAGTGTAGAAATATAATATTAATTAAAATTTGTAATTAAACTCCAAAAAAATTAATTACTGTTTGTAAAGATCAATTTGATGCGCTGATATGATAGAATACGTAATTGTGATATTTAATATACGTATAAACGTAACGATATTAGAAAATTGAGTGACATTAGAAAATACGCAAAGATTGCTTGAAAAACCGCAACTTTTCGCTTTGGTGACAACTTGGGGATAAAATGCGTTACGCATTTTATTATTTTCTTTATAAACGTTTTTACATTGCAAAGACAAAAAAAATGCAACTTGCTATTTCTACAGGGAATTGCGATTATATTCACAATCTTAATTTGCTTTAAAAATACGAGAGATCTTAAATTCCAAACTGCTGTTGCATCTCTTGCACAATATCGCATAACACATATGCATATGCATATCTATACATAAAAAAATCGTTAAAAGCAAGAACCAAATATGTATACACCTCGATTTTTGTGATAATATTAAAATATTAACAACAATAACAAATAATACAAATTATTAAATATTCTTAGAAACAGATTACCTCATTATCTGTATGTGCCGCATCAAAATCTAAACTTATTAGAAGTACATCTGTTTCAATTTCTATTCATAAATATCAGCCAGATACAGGAAATTATTATAGTTATTAATACTAATTTTTTAAATAGTAACATCTGACAATACCAGTTCAATAATTAAGATCTGATAATAAAAATAATTCATAAGCAAACACGTAATATAAGTACGTATTTCTGAAATTAAATGCAGAATTAATTTAAAGCAAGTAGCTTTTTCATCTCTGTCAAAATATGATTTTTCTCAGTTTTCCTAAGATTCATGCACTAAATATCATAATTATATAAAGATCATTTAGATCGAACTGACAATATTTCATTCTTTATTGAGTAGCAACTATTTATGCCCGAATAACAATCGAACAGAGCTTTCATCTGCACGAGACACCTTGACAACGATTTTCACGTATACGTCGCGACGTATCGCGTCGGTCTCGCGTTCGGGGATGAATTAAAACGAAATAAAACCGAGTGACTTTGAACATACGGGTCGTACGTCGTACAGCAGCAGAGCGCGACCGCGTGCTCGCCGAGTGAGGTTAACCCAGGTTAACCGCTCGATTGTCGTATCATGTATTTCATCGATATAAATCGGCCATTCCTCACCTGCTCGTTCGGGATCTCATACTCCTCGTCCTCGTTGCTGGACGAGACGTCATTCTCGTCGTCGTCGGGCAACTTCTGCCGGATCTCACGCTTTTTCACCGGAGCAGCCATCACAAATTAAAACGTGTGAGTGGTGCGAAGTGCGAAGACTGCGAAGCGAACACTGTGTTAGTTTGTTCTTTGTAGCTGAACTGGGTGTACTAGTTCAGAAAGTGTACCCTGAAGCGTTCTTTGTAACAGAATTGGTAAAAGTGTTGCCGTTCAGTAATGCTGGGTCTACAATGCGAGTCGCAAGAATTGACCAATCACAGTCGATTATTCTCCTCAAATTTGTCTGTGATTGGCCAATTCTTGCGACTCACGACTTTGCGACTCGCATTGTAGACCCAGCATAACAGTGCAAGAGAAGTAGTGCAACAGTTTACTTGTATGTACATTGCACTGTGTCCGGAGGTAGTGCAACCAGTGCAGTGCAGTCTGGTGCAGTCAGTGCAGTTACAAAGAACAAACCTAATGTAGATTAATTTTTATAATTTTAATCGCGTTTGAACTTATACTTTTCATCTTTTTCTAGTTCTTGAAATTGGAGGAAGATAAATGGTAAGTTTAACCAAGATTAATGTTAATCTAATCATATAATTATATGAAGAAAATTATCCAATCGCATTTTATGCTTAAATTGCTTACTTCTTTATTTTAAATAAAAAAAACTGTTTGTTATAATCTTACGAAAAAAAAACAAGAGAATATTTATCTTTATGTGCAAATAAATGACAAGTGCGATTGCATAGAAAACTTTTGTCTTTAATTACTAAATCACATACAATAGGTATTTTATTATTACAATATTTGAAGGGTTATTTCTCACATAAATTATGTTTTTAACAAAATTTCACCTATATATGCAAAAAAAGGTCTAATTAATGTGTCCAAATACATGCAGTAAATACTAAGAAAAAATAAGAATCGGTAAGAAATTGTGATAATACTTTTTGAGAAGACAAATAGTTGTACAGATAAACTTTCGAAGAAATTATTAAATTACATTACAAATTTTGAATGTTTAGGAATAACCGTTATGCGATGCAACGGTCCCATTCCTTCTCCATGAAAGCAACCCCGCCACCATGTTTTACACACACACACAGTCGGAACTTGGTAACGTTAATTAAATCTTTTGCCAGAAGGACGTCGAATATATCGTATTCCATTGTCTCAAATAGATACTTGGATTCTTCGCTCCAGATAATCCTTCTCCATTCGTTGTCAGTCCAATGTTTCTGTGTTAAATGGGTTAA